GTTAAATCTTCCAGCAATGTGATTCTGAATTATAGTTATATATTAAATAGTATAGATCTTATATACTATGGATAAACCTGAAATTACCTTTTATATATTCCAGTGCTTTCAAATATATTAAGTCTCTATTGAAATCGAATGAATTTAAATGTACATTTGTAAATGTAATGCTAAGTTCATTCACCATTCAAAACAGAACTAGTTTACGACCAACTTCTATAAAGTTGTTGGTTTGATATAAAAAGGATTAAAAATAATTAATTGTTTACATATATATGTATATTTGTGACAAAATTAAGTTATTTAAAACAGTAATGTGATTATCATATCGTGCATATAAATGTATATCATTAACAGATATAGTATACCAAAAATAACATTTTAATATATAAAGCAATATATATTTAATAGTCGTGGTGTCTAGAGGTTAATGGTCCGTCTCTCGTGAACGAGGGCGCGGGTTCGATCCTGGCCCAGGCAAGTACCAATGTAATTTTTCCGATTCATATGTACTTTCTAAGAGTATTTAGACATCACTGACAGACGGTGAGGAAACCTGGACTTATATCAAATTATAAGTTTGTAAATTATAAGTTTATCTTAGTGGTTTTTAGTTATAACAAAGATTTGTATTTTAAAATAAGAAGTTTCTTTTAAAAGATACATTTATAATAGACTTAAGTTCTTTCCTTATTTCAATAAATTTATTTTACTATAAAGACATAAAATAAAACCTTATTATACCTTAATGATTGACTCAAACCAATATTAACAAGATTCAAGATGTTCATTCATTATATTTATTATTAAAATCCTAATTGGTTTAAATGTAATTTACATAAAGACATGTTAATGAACCAATCCTGTTTATATTTATAGAGACATCAACGTACTCCTTGTATCTCGTGCGAAATCTTTGCTTGATATAAATGTATAGTAAATAACTTCTATAAATTGAAGCGAGTTCTTGAAAGTTATATTATTAAAGTATACTTGTTTTGTTCATAATTTTTATTGTTGTAAAACTTCTTTACGCACGCTGGGGGTAAGATTATGAAAGCGTTACGAAAAGTGTGATCGGGTGAGAAGAACGAAAGTGAGAGGAATATTTAAATTAGTGAAGTTAGTGCATGGATGGATGGATGAATCAATGGATGGATGGTAATTGTGTTTCAGAAAGAAAAAATGGATGAACTTTATAAAATTAATCATTATAAACTTATTTAACCTGTTATGTGTATGTGTATAAGAGGATTAGATTTTAGTTAATGTAGATACTACTAAAACTAGCCTACAATACTTGAATTAAATTAAAGAGTTGAGAAAAATGTTCTTATATTACTGTAGGAGGAAGAGAGAGCAGAGTGCCCAGAGTTTCTTTCTCGCTTCCTTTCATAGCCAATGCATGAAATACATATACAGATAGTATTCATCTACCTGGCAATTTCGCAGCTTTAGCCAGGGTCTGCCTTACATCTTGTGAATAGTTTTGACTAATTGTTTTTACGACCGGCCGCCTGCCTGACATCAACCCTCTTTGGGAATGCATTAATCAGTAATGTCTAAATACTCTTAGAAAGTACATATGATTCGGAAAAATCACATTGGTACTTGCCCGGGCCAGGATCGAACCCGTGGCCTCGTGCATAAGAGGCGGGCCTTTTAAGCACTAGGCCACCACTGATTTATATGTACATATACAATATGTATATCTGTATTATACATAAATAAAACATGTGGATTTAAATATTACATACAGATGGAGCGAAAGAAAAATTTTACTTCAGCCATATGGTCTCAAGCACACTGGTTTTTTTTTTTTTTATAGATACATTTATTTCCTATTATCATCAAAGCATTGTGTATATGATAATGTGTTCCTATAAAACTATTTACATATACATCGTGTCGCTACCTCCGCATGCCACACTGTATTGTTATCAGTTTTTCTATTACATTCACACACTCATACACACTCGTCTCCTGAAGGATTTTTTTCTATGAGAAAAGTGGCAAACGAGCAGAGGACTTACTTGATGGAAGGTAGTTACCGCCACCCATGGACATCCGCAAGATATTTGATGCGGATGCGTTGCCAACCTTGGTTTTTTTAGTAATAGGGAGTGCGGACATAAGGGAATGTCGGGAAAAAATGGGAATAGGAAAGGGCAACCAGCTCTCTCAATCATAAGACGAAACGCAACCATTATAAACTACTTCACGTCGATCTTCTGTAAGAGGGTGGTACTTCCCCGGTCGGACCCATGTGCGAGCTATAGTGACCACAGCTAGGCTCTACCACCTATAAAATCGATCAGAACGACCCTGGTTCTCATCACACTATCATCAGAATGTTCTTCAACACATCACACTAGTTCCATATATCTCTGTACACTCCTGTAACCTTCCCTCCCCCTCCTTCCCGCCTCTTGTTCTCATCGTGACGTCACATCCGTTCCGTCCGTCTCCTATAACCTATTCATCAGTCGTCGGAAGCTGTTCTCAGTCTGAAGGGCCCGGCTCCGTGCCTCTAATGGAGCGTGGTATTTCTTATTGTTCAGAAACAGGGCTTGTACGGGAGGGACGATTCATAGGCGGTAGCGTTTTATATCTGTTAAAGTTTAAACATCAATTGGAATTCATTAAATATTTTATATCTGCTTTATTTAAATTTATTCTAGTAGATATATAATTAAATATACATTTTTTATTCGGCCTCCGATCAACTTAATCCTTATACCATTTCCGCTACCGCTCCCAGTGTGACCTCATTCTTAATTCATTACAAGTATATGTATATAATAGTAAGTATGTACGTCTTTCAAAACTGTCACTGTACAGTGTGGAGTGTACTCGCGGCGACTACAACAACACATTCAATCAAAATTATAATTTAAGGAAATATAAGACAAATCATATATTTTATTTCATATTATATTAAATATGGTGAGTAATTAGACCGTGAGTAATTATTGTAATAACAATATACACGGTTTTTATATACTTAATTTTAGTCATTAGAATTTCTCGATATCCAAATTTAACCTGAGATAAAACAATCTACAAGTACCCTAACATTAGAAGAATACATTTTTTATAAAAAATTGTACGTACATTTTAACTAACTTTCTCTGCTATTTAGTTCATAATCTTTAATATTCTTTTGATAAAAAAAATATTGTATACTTATAAAAAGTTATGTTGATCAATCACCGACATCTATAGAGTGTTATTAACAATACACCAACCTATTATGAGGTGTTGTGTACAAAACACACGGAATCAAGTGATAAATTAATTACATGTGATTCTTATAATTCTTCTTCTTCTTCTTCTACCTGGCAATTTCCCAGCTTTAGCCAGGGTCCGCCTTACATCATACATGTTTTTTTTTAATAGTTTTGGCTAATTGTTTTTACGACCGGCCGCCTGCCTGACATCAACCCTCTTTTGGGAATGTATTAATCAGTGATGTCTAAATATTCTTAGAAAGTACATATGACTCGGAAAAATCACATTGGTAGTTGCCCGGGCCAGGATCGACCCGCGCTCTCGTGCATGAGAGGCGGGCCTCTTAACCACTGGGCCACCACTGTTCTTATAATTATACTATATTATTTGAAAGTTTCACACAAACCCGTTCAGTATATTTTAAATGAATGGCAACGAACATCAACACAATCATAGTAAATGAAACTAATATTTTTCGCATGTACTACGCGATTTTATTTTTGATAAAAAGCTACATACTCCCGATGTTTCGGCTACTTTACAGCAACCCGTGATCACGAACAGACGAGACAATCATAGTACCTCAAAAAACTTCTCGTTTATAATATATGTAATTATATAATATAATTTAAATCCTTTTAATTAAATAATAAAAAACCATCAAGCAGCAATAAGACAAATTGAAATGTTAGATACAAAGTAATTAAGGCGCCACAGAATACTTCATTCTTCGTGCGCTCTCGATGATAGATTCTATTCTATCAATAACGTTATTCACGTTATATAAATCACGTATACGTAAATGGATCGTAACTAAACGACTTGTACATTAAAATAAATGCTAACTGTTTCTTTTTAGTAAATTATTGATGTTCGTATCATACAAAATGTATATTTTTGTTTTTATAATTCAGACTCACTGTCATGTATAAAGTTCTAAAGCCTACAAAACCTTTTTTAATGTGTTACTATTAAGTAACCACTCGATACTTCTAGTTCACGAAATAATAAAGAGTAGAAAACTTACACTATATATATTCTAGTATTAAAATGGACACAATGAAGCCAGAACCACTTACTGTGGGTCTAATAGAAGTCAGCTTTTCTACTTTAACTTGTCTTTGTCTAAACTTACATCTAATATGTATATTATCCTAAACTTGTATGTAATAGTGGTCTAGTCTGTACGTCTGTTTGTATCATCATTGTCACATTTAGTTTGGTTTGGTTGTTTCAAACATAGCCTTCATCTGTGCAAAAACATGCATAATCCATTCTACCAATGTCGTGTTGAATTGAGGAGACACGATGTCACTTTTGACGCCTGAGTTTGAAAATGTCATATTTGACGTTAATGACATACGTCATTAATGACAGAAGTCATGATGAAAGTTGAATATGTTTGATAGTTTAAAAGTAATATAATGAGTAGTTTTGTAGCATTGTTTTAATATAACTCTGTTTATAACAAGATAACCAGATTAATTGATTTAATAATCGTCTTTTGCTATACCTATATGTATTATTTATCCAGACATGACCAGACGGTACTGACTGACATCAATTTGCTCAAGAATTTAATTGTCTTTTTACTACATATTTTACTTCCAAACATACTTTTGATTTTTTCATCAATTAGTCATTAATACAATGACTTACCTGTTCAGATATGTATATATTTAAGCTGGTATATTTATGAATTATTAAACGTAGCCTCTGATAAACTGTTGTTAATGTGTATGTCTGTTTGTGTAGTGATGGTGTGACGTATGAGCGAGGGAGGCGCTGTGTTGGAGGCTGCGGCGCGCGGGGACGTCGGCCGAGTGGCCAGCCTGGTGCGGGCCGGGGCCACTCAACACACAGACGAGGTACCTACCACCTACAACCTACCACTCATCATTCACCCAGTGAAGGCGCTAGGGGGGGGGGGCACGATGGGGCGACGGACCAGGGTGCCAAATTTGGGGGGCGATTAGTGGAGGTAGAATACTTATAAATGAAAAAAAAAATAAGAACTACATAACTTTCTACGTCCACGTCGTTAGCTCTGGGTCACGCTAAAGGAAAGATGGAAGATGGTAGATGGAATATAGAATTCTTAATACACGTTCAGTGTTCACATTGGTTCAGAAAAAAATTAATAATCGATTTTGATTTCTTCAAGTGGGCGCCAAAATATTCTTGCCCAGGGTGTCAGTCCCTCTAACGCCGGCACTGCATTCACCATCTTACCACCAGACATACAAAGTTCTAGAACTACATACATACATAAAAATGTTTTTTTTTTGTGTCCTTTTTTTATTCACACTAAAATATTATGACTAGTAGTCTAGATTAAACTTTAAACAAATATTATCCTTTATTCAGTATTCATTATAATATAGTTTTATAACTTCATAAATCGACTTCATAACTTATAAAGGTTCTAAATTAAAGTAGTTATAATGATAAGTTCAACCTCTTACATTAATCACCAGTGGGAGTTCACGTAACTGAGTTTTCAGTCACACTGATCTGGCATATTGTTATTAATATGTAGTACAATAAAGCGGTGTTGCTCATGTACATATATGTATATATATGTATATACATACTAGATGACCCGTCAAACGTTTTACATATAAAAAAAATTAGGGGTTGGTGTAAAAAAACAAAAAAATTTTGGCTTGTATGTATTTTTACATTATAAAAGAAATAAAAATAAAAAATTTAGTTCGGTCCAGCCGTTTCGGAGGAGTTCTCTGTCTAACACCGCGATACGAGAATTTTATATATAAGACGATATATTTAATTTAATGTGTTTTATGAGTATTTCTTTACACATATAAAACACCGTTCTGTTAAACATTTATCATCCTTAATACATACTAAGTGTCATTAAATGGCTGATACTAATATAAAATCTGTTTCTATATGACAAAATGCAAAAGATATATAAAAACATGGAATATTTAAGTCCTTATAAATATGTAGCGTGTTGATGTGTTTTATACTGAAGTTTCCTGTTCGTCATCTTAACGTGGTGTTAAGGCAATTTATGTAGTCTCCATATATGTATTGTATACTATAATTATATATTATATACTAGAAGACCCGGTGAACGTCGTATCGCCCTATAATCAAGAAATATCTGTTACGTTTTTTTATTTATATTTTTGGAGTTTACCTATTAAAGCCATAAATTTCCGTGTTTTGAAGTGCGACAGAATGATTGACATATTAGTTAGTTGTCAAATCTTATGTCAAAAAAAAAAACTTTTGTATCAACAACTAGTAATAAATTAAAAATTAATTAAAAAAAACATTGTCTAGCGGACAAAATTGTGAATCTAAACAATTCCCAGATCCCCTTGAACACACAAAAAAATCGGTCCAGTTGTCTGAGAGAAGTTCAGTGACATACACACTCACAGAAGAATTATATATATAAAGATATATTATGTTAAACCCGTGTGTGAAGGTGTACGTATATACATATAAGTCGCATTACACCGTAAGCACCCCGTAGTATGAGTAACTTTGCCTCCCATCTACGGAGTTGTAAAACCAATTATAAAGTAGCACTTAATACATTAGCCGGCGGGACCCCGCTGGGAACACATTACACGTTACAACCAATAAAACTAAATGTATGGCTTTTGAATATAAATTATATGTGGGATGGAATGTACTGGAATATATAAGGTTTAAATAAAAATAGAACCTTCAACATTTTGTGATAAAACAATAAAAATAACCTTAGTTAAAGTTATATGCTATTAATTCAGACTATTAAAATTATGAATTCATGATAATGAACTAAAATTTATATAATCAGGGAATTTTATTAATAAAAGAAATAAATCAAAAAAATATCTATAATAAAAGGAATCGATTACTCTCACATGTTATACACGAAAGCCTCCAGCTATGAGATTACGTGAGGGTTTTAATTACTCACACGATGAATCACGATGAGTTATGATGAGTTATGACAGACGGTAATATGTTGCCCTTTGTTGGAAATAAAAATCAAAAACTTCAGAATACATCCATGACGACTGAAGGCTTTTGAGATATAAAAATAACTTCTGATATTAAATTTATTATATTATAAAAAATATTTTATATATATAGCAATATTAACTAAAGGGACACTTCCAATGGAGTTATTAAACGTAATACAGTGAAACAAGTTTTAAAATATATTAAATGAAGGCTGTATGTGTTATAACAGGATAATGTGATGTTACTTCAAGCCTGCGACGACTCTATCAATCAAAAGAGCCTCTGGATGACAGCTCATACAGGAATAAATACAAATAAAAATAAAATAATATAATAAGTTTTGTATCAAAATATAGTAGATTTTGTAAGCCTTTATATGTCAGAAAAATATTTATATATATGAACATAAGTTAATATGTCTTTCAGAATAAACTGTTGCAAAATCATAAAATTGATGTATTTATTTCAAAGTAAATTTAAATGTTTAAATTTTTTTCATATTTCTGCAGTATTTCGTTTTTTTTTTTTTTTAATATTTTGTGACTAAACTATAACGATCTGTTAAATTATCGAAGAAATGTTGTCCTTTTTCAAACATAAATACGCCCATTGTTATAATAAACTTATAACTAGTGATTAAATATTAAATTTGTGTATATTATTCACCAACAAAATGTCAATGGAAATTTTGAGTAAAAATTAAAACGTAAAATAAAAAATATGCCAGCGAAACGAGTGAGTTGATTAAAATGACGGACCGGTATCCACCTGCGCCTGCGCACCGCGCGAGGAATGATTTAATAACGGCAATTAATATAATCTGAAAAGGAATTGGACAAATAAATACTCACTGCGACATAAAACACCTTCATATACTTATAATAGCTCACATACAGACTTTAGGAACCAGGAACTTTCAAGGCTAACGATTGGACACTGAATATCAAGCAATTATAACATCAATTTGTTTTCATATTGTTTCAATCCACGTAAAGTATTCACGGTGCACGTATTACGTTTTGATAAAAGCCTGCTCATTACCGACACAGTCATCGTTACACACACAACCTTAACGTTGCGTACGTGACTTCAAAGTGGTGTGTGTGTGTGTGTGTGTGTTCATCGCGATGGCCAGATAACAAAACAACTTATTTATTTATAATTATAAGTGGGCACTATTTTCGCTTTAATTACTTAATAGGCAATTCATGAATTGTTTCGAATAAAATTATTACATTATTTAAAGATTTTTATAAGTAGTGCATCTTGAAATAGAATACAAAGCATATACCTACATATAGCTTATAATCTAACCTTGAAAGAAAAAATTCTTAAATAATGACTTACACTTACGAAACGATGAAAAGACTTTCTATACTTACTACTTTATTTATTTATTTATTTTTGTACCAACAAAGTATACAGTAAATTATTAATAATATGTGTACAAGGGGTATCTTATCTCTAACAAGAGATCTCTTCCAGAAATCCTGAATAAAGTGGTGACCATTTGCAATACAAATTTATAGTCTAGGTACAATATCAACAAACTACTTACTTATTATTATAAAATTGAAGTAGACTTTTTTTTTTAATAAATACATTTAAGTCTACTTTAATAATGAATCAACAAGTTTATTATCATCTAAACAAATTTAAGCTACATATAACCTGTGTTATATAATGTTTGTGATACAGCCAGCGTCCTATCATCGATCATCTTACAAGTCGATATCGAGCTCCGAGCATTAAAAACTAGTTCACAACGACCGGTTTGAACGATTCTTGTAACGATTTCATTCCACGGACGACGAGCTCGGTGCAGGCTTTACATACATTGTTGTATCATCGATTGGACTTCACTGTATGTACTATGCTTAATATTAAATTATTATTAGGATGAAATCATGAATTTTAATCCTTTAGGGAAAAAGCATTCATTTCAATTATTTAGGGTGAAAACATTCATTTCAATCATTTAGGTTAAAAGCATTCATTTCAATCATTTAGGATAAAAGCATTCATTTCAATTATTTAGGGTGAAAACATTCATTTCAATCGTTTAGGGTGATATCAGTCATTTCAATCATTTAGGTTAAAATCATTCATTTAGGGTAAACATAACGATAGAAAGTGTTTATTATGACTTCTGTTAACTGTTTTGAAAGCTGCGGTTTAAAATCAATAAAACGTACCGAAATTTATTTGAAAAACAATCGATCAGCGAACATTATCGTTTATTAACCGCAGAAGGTAAATTGAGAACGACCTCAACCTTTCTTACTGGCCATTACAATGAAATAACACAATAATGATGAGAACGATTTTTATTTGTTTGTTTACAAGTAAACAGGAATTTATTACTCTATGTAGTCTCAAAACTAAACTCTGGAAGAAATTTCATATGTCAAAAGAGTATTTACTTGTCATTGACAACAGATAATTAATATTTACTGACACGAACCGGTTATAATGTTGTATAATCTGTGGAATTAGATTAATTTTAGCGTCCTCGTTAAAGTAATGATTGATTGAAAGTACGACCGTTACTATAATGGCGTCTTTATGCGATTTTTTTATTCCTCTACTGAAGTTCCGTAACTAATTTATGTTGATCATAAAAAAATAAATGTTCGTGTTGCAATAATAAGCCTAACACTGTAAAGAGGAGAAAGTTAAAGCCAGCCTTCGACGGAATAATATCAACTTAAATTCAATATTTAGTAGACAATTATTGGGAATATTTCGTCAGGCTACTGCTTGTTTCTAACTACGAATTATCAAGTAGCAAGAATTATCTATATATATTATTCTTAAGTTCTGATGAAATTATCCTACAATTACGGACAGTGCCGCGAGCGACAACTAGTTGTGACATAAAACAAAATTATATATAATAACAGAAGCTAACAAGACCAGAAAATACAGCATTGTTTAATTAAAGGCCCCATCGGTAGTTAAAAAAAAATCTTAAGCTTGATAGTAAAAATAAACAGAAATCCAATTTATATAGCTACCATCAAAAACCTCGTTATATTTCACGAGCCAATTACTCATAATAAAATGTTAATTTGTATGTTTGTATTGAATTAGCGTCGAGTTTACGAGCAGATTTATGATTCAATGTTCACACTAACGCCGGGCATAGATTAAGATAGTTTTTTGGTATCAAAATATATTTTTTATGACATTTTTAGACCGATGATTTAAGAAAAGCCTAGTTGGGATAAATTCCTATTATATTTTTCAAATATTTTTCTTTTAATAATAAGTTCTGTCTTATCATATCCACTGAAAAGCTGACGAAACATAACCTTGGATACATAACAACTACATGTTAAGATATGAAATGTGTGATGTTGAAAAAAATATATATATACTTATATAATATTATATAATCCTCATTACACTACACCGGACACCTTTGATAAACAAGTTTGTTAATTAACAAGAATATTTTAGATAGAAATAAACGATTAGACATTAATGAGACATAATTCATAAAAAACATAAAATATTATAAATAATACTTTAGATATACTTATAAAGTTTTTACGAAAGTCAAGATTTTATTAATCTTTACGAACCAGTTTTTGTAAAACAAGTTCAAAATTATAACTAATAATATGACAAAAAAATATGTATGCCCAATTAAGTACTGCTAGTTGTAAGTATGACTTTCACATTCCTTCATATTGATTATATCGAACGCACCGGATACTAAAATAAGCATGACAACGAAAATAAGCCTGTCATAGAGATATATATTATATGACTTTCCATTCTACAAAAAACTAGCAAAATATACTGTGCAAACTTACACGTATGAAGGCAATACTTAAAATAAGCAAACCAAAACTATAATATGACTTTCTGATAATTATCTGAAAGTTACTTATGATACACCATTCAGCAGTTAAAATCATTTTATCCCTACTAATATTATAAATGCGAAAGTAACTCTGTCTGTCTGTCTGTTACGCTTTCACGCCTAAACCATTGAACTGATTTTAATGAAATTTGGTACAGCGATAGAGTTGATCTTGAGAAAGAACATAGGATAGTTTTTATCCCAGACTTTTGAAACGTTCTCTTGGAAACGCGATATAACCGAACTCCACGCGGCGAAGCTGCGGGCGGAAAGCTAGTAACATTATAAATGCGAAAGTAAAACTCTGTCTGTCTGTTACGCTTTCACGCCTAAACCATTGAACTGATTTTAATGAAATTTGGTACAGCGATAGAGTTGATCTTGAGAAAGAACATAGGATAGTTTTTATCCCAGACTTTTGAAAGGTTCTCTTGGAAACGCGATATAACCGAACTCCACGCGGGCGAAGCTGCGGGCGGAAAGCTAGTCTGCAATATATTGAAACTAAAACCTGCAAAATACTGTCCATATAATTCTCGAAGCTTAAATTCCACGAACATTTTCTTAATCGTCATCGTGACAGCAAACCGTCGTGTCCATCGGATATATTAAATGAAATTCCGTACAAATTACCTTTGTTTTTGTACACCATAAACATAAACCAGGCAATAAAGCGGTACATCAATGGTAATATACAAAGATATTTCCATAAGAATAATATTGCAAATGTTCCTCCGATGTTCGTTTGATAACGGTTACAGACGAGCTGGTCATTATACTTCACCGGTACAGTATGATGATGTACAGAAATACGGCGATAGATTATAATTATATTTCTATTAACAAAAATTACTTTCTTAATATTGCATACAATATAAAAGATGGAAAGTTATTTCTATCTAATACAGAGTCTTCTCGTTTATCTACTATCTTACTTTTCTCGTCTACTACAAATCCTGTAGTTTTTTTTAACCCAAAAGTCAATAATATTCCTCAAATCACTATCAGCTACTTAAGTTATTTACGCTTATAAATTATGTCCAAATTAATGTGTATATGCTCACGAAATAAACCGGTTTGTGAACTAAAAGTTAGATAGTGTCGTAAAATCTTTTATTAGTTATTAACAGATCTATGACATTTATGATGTGTATTAAAAATATGAAATCTTAATTAAGGAACAGCTACCAACTACCTGCATCGCAACTCTCATTATTTAACGTCATTTTTAACACGCTTATATTAGCTTGGGCTGTGTGTATGTAACGGAATCTTTGAGCACGATTTTCACCGGTTTCTAAACATCTGATTAACTTGAAACATTGCATATATCTCAAGGACCAATGACAATACAATAATTCGTTAACAATTTCCCATTATCCTTGTTAGGACCGCCAGAATTAATATATTCTTTTCATAGATCCTCTATGAGAGTGAAAGGGACAGAGCTAAAATATTTATTCTTTTTAATTATTATTTTAAGTTTTTGTCCTGCTAATAGTAAGTGTACAAGTTATTTTGTCACATTGTTTTACTAAAAACTTTGATAATAGTTTACTACAGATAAACAGGTTAAGTTATAAATTGTGCTTAATACACGTTTCACTGTGAAATTACCGTAAAGTGGGTACTACCATGAGGTAGCTCAGGGCATAAAACAGCACTAAAAACTACTAACTAAGGATGTGGAAGTAACGTACTGTTTAATAAATATCTTTAGTATAGTCTATTTAATACTAGCTGGCGCTGTTAAAGACATAACTGCGTACAGAAAATTGCTAATCAACGGGTTTTATAATATCACGAATCATTATTAGAATACCGTACTTGATATTTGTCAAATCATTTATAGAAAAATGCCATGCAGTACTATTTCAAAATCTTAGTTAAAAAAATGTATGCAAAGTGCTCATACCAAATCTAAACACAGCTATAAACAATCAACCTCGTCTTAACTCGAACAAACACGCCATCGTCATCTTAAAAAGAATTTAGATAGTTATTGTGATTATGACATTAGAGCAAAAATAACTATTATTTCTAAAGCTCTATTTTTTATAAAAACCTTATTCTTCCATTCGTCTTTGAAAGCACTAAATTATATTTTTATCCTTGCTTTTTATATTTCAATAAAATTTAAGAACAGCGACTCATTGGACTCGTTTCTTCAAAATAGCTTTTGAGCGTTAAATTTTTCATCTGTTTAAAGGAGATCATCAATCAAAGTCAAACTGGTTTCTAGTAACACGAAGTGGTGTATAAAAAACATATATTATTGTATTATCTGACTCCGACTCGCTCCTTGGAAGTCAGAATAACTAATAACTTTAATGTAAGATTGCACGTTGGACGTTTGCATATAAATTTCAAAGATTCTAACAATATTTGGACTAGGTTCTGCTACGTTGAAAATTCAATCAATTTTAAATTAGAATTAGGATATATAGAATGCAATTTTCTTTTCCATTTACTCATTCAGTTATAGCTGATAACTTAATTGGTAAAACATCTGGAAAAACTATATTCCGGATGATGCAATTTTGCATAGTACTCGTATAAATAAATTTCTTCGTTTTAGTTAATTTAACTTTTCTCTCAATGTCACCTTACTATACGAATCATCCGACAATAGCGTTCCTGATATATCTTCCACATAAAACCGACAATCCCTTTTCTATTACCTAAATATCTTTGAACTGCTTTTGATCCAACAACTAAATTTTTATATGAGTCTTCTATGTGTTTCAGAATGGGTGTAGCGCTCTTCAACGTGCAGCAGCCGACGGGCACGTGGAGGTGGTGCGATTGTTGTTACAACATGGAGCAGATCCATTGCAGAGAGACCATGTGGTCAGTATTATTAAATTATAGGCTTTAATCTTGCCTTTATAACCCAGGATTATCACTGACCGAATCAGCCTGCAGGGATTGTTCCATCGTCTGATAGAAGAAAAACAGATTAAAAGATTTCTCTCTCAAATTTTACTGAATCTTCTTTACTATTTTATTTTTCAAACCCATATTTTTGATACCATTACAAATAACAATTTTATACAACCTTTAAGTTGCTAATGATTATTATTAGCGCTAACTTTGAAGGTCTACTTGCGATAGTCCTCTGGTTCGATTTTACTAGGCAACAATTTATAAAATGTATACTACAACTCTCAGTATATCGGATCCTTATTCTCCTAATTTTATGCTAATAACAGAAGCAAAATCCTTCTGCTATCTTGAGAATTACCAAGACACTCGTAGGTAAATTAACTTATACACTCAAGTTAACTTCTAATTCCAATAGGGTCCAAAACTATTTTTTATTTTATTTTTTAATTTATTGAGAAACAAACAGTATTACAACCAATCAATTCAAATAATTCATACAAAAATACATAAACCGATTAAGCTACCACCGATTACAAGTTCACTTGGAGCAATATATTAAAAAGAAGACGAGTCTAGAAATAAAAAACACAACAGTTAGAAATCTCGTTCATGTGATTAAAGACTGTCTAATATTTTCCAGCATGGCAACACCGCCATCCACGAAGCTGCGTGGAAAGGTTATTCCCGTACGGTGGGCCTCCTCTCTCGGAGTGTGGGCGGCGTGGTGTGTCGGAACGCTGCCGGGTTCACTCCCCTACACCTGGCCGCACAGAACGGACACAACCAGTCGGCCAGGGAACTACTGCTGGCCGGCGCTAACCCGGACATACAAAAATAATGTGAGATACTAATAGATTATTTTATGTGACAAAACATTAATTGGCATTTCCCTGTTCCCATACTTTTCTCCCATTTCCTTATTCCCACCTCTCCCTTTACCTCAACAATCAAGGTTGGCAACGCATACATAACAGTGATGTTGATTAATGACTACTACCCATCAAGTAGGCCGTCTGCTCGTTGGCCACATTTTACATTAAAAAAAATTGAGTCGAACTTAACTTATTTATTAAATTTAAAAGCGATGCTTCTAATGGTAGTCGGTCAATCAACTATTGTTATATTAAGACCAAATTAAATTGAGTTTCTATTGCTATTTTACATAATATATAAACAAAATTATATTTTCATTTAAATTTAGAAGATATTGAATTATTACATATTTATTTTTATCTTTCGCATTATAATAAAATTCACTATAACTAATAGTCTTTTAAAACTTATAATTTCGCCAGTTCCACTTTATTCGGTCAGAATCTTTTATCGTTTTGATTTTTTTAAACATTATAAATACATATGTATCCATCTTTACTATTAATAAAAGAAATCCTCTCCAATAATTCTATTTATTTTTCCAGTATGGAGACACGTCCCTCCACACGGCTGCACGGTACGGTCACGCGGGCGTCACTCGCATCCTCATCTCAGCCCAGTGTCGAGTCTCGGAACAGAACAAGAACGGAGACACAGCGCTACACATAGCAGCCGCTATGGGGAGACGAAAACTCACAAGAATACTACTTGAAGCGGGATGTGATAAGAGCATAAAGAACCATCAAGGAGAAACCGCGAGAGATATAGCAATGAGAAAAGGCCTAGATGAAATAATACACATCCTGAACACTCCCGTAGCGAAACAAAATAAAAAGAAAGAAAAACACAGAGACAAAAGCAGAGAAAGAACCATCGACGAACCTGACGACGGCAAGAAAAGGGATAAAAGTAAAGATAAAAAGAAAAGGAGCGTACATTTTGAAACGCAACCACAAGTACAGTGGTCGCCCTACGGCTGCCATTACTATCCGGACCCGAAATATTTTCCGAAGCCAAAGCTTAACTCATTACCCACCGAACCTTTGAAAAAGGGCGAACAGTATTATTTGGATTTGGCTGGAAATATAAAAAAGGGCCCCATTGGAGGTGGGTACACGTGCTACTGTGCACCATTCTTCAAACACATGGAAGATAAACTGAACGAAGACAAAAACGATTTGAAACGTCACATAGATAGAGCGCACGAAAAATTAGATCAGAAAGTTACAGACTTAGAAATGAAAACACAAGGAAAGATATCAGAACTGACGAGGTTTATGGCTGCGGAAAGAGCGATGTGTAAAGAGAGACACAAACACTTGGAGCAATGGCTGACTAGAGGGATGACGTACAGGGCCTCGGAGAGAGTTAAGAAGTTGGACTTCAGTCCTAAAGGATCGTTAGATATACCTACGATAAAAAGAACAAGGAGCTTAGAACTTTTAGACGCTAATAATGAAGATTGGAACAATGTTAACAGGATAATAAGAGACTTAAATGAGAACGCGGAACAGTGTGAAACTATTGCCAAAGAACTCGATTACAAAGCAACATCTAGAAGCACTGACGGTTTGGATACACAGACGCCTTCTAGTCCAAGAAGGAAGAATATTCTTAAAAATTCTAGAAGCAGCGATCAATTAGATGCTGGGCCTAGTCGAAGTTCAAGATCTTCACATTCGGCACACTTTAGTAATAATGATCCCCAAGATACTGCAGAAAGTTATGTCAACTCAAACAGAGTGTCCGTTTCTCAGTCTCCAGAAACCATATGCAACGAGAGGTTTATGACGACCTCTCAACGACTACACACTAATTCATTAGATGTAAATAATGGTCTACCAGCGCATGAACCCCAAACTCCCGAAGGGAATATAGAACACTTTGAACTCCAAAATGAATCAAGATGGAAAAGCCAAGTGTTGCAAAGAACTGCAGACGACGTCCGGAAAAGAGTCATGTTTGAAAAGGAAACGTCAAACGTGCAACGAAACAAAAACTTAGATATATCACAAGACGGGTACATTAAAATTACAAATCCCGAATATAGAGAAGATAAAATTGATAGAGAACCGCGCAAGTCAGTTTTAGAGCTCGTAGCACAGGTCGAACATCAACAGAGATGTACGTCACCGGAGAGACCGCCGCTACCAAAGAAAAAGATAGAGAAAGAGGTACCAGTGTCTCCTACACAACCTAGTCAAGTCGTACTAAAAATGCCACAACAACCTCTAAGACCTGCTCCAGCACTAAAAGAAAAACCACCGAAATCAAAACGTTTTAGTTTACACAACCTCATACCTTTTCCGACTAGAAAGACTTTTCAAAGTCCTCCAAAACAAAACGGAAATAATTCCGAAAGTAGTGATGAAGAGGACGGTCCTATAAGAAGCATCAATCAACCGGGGCCCATGAAGAACACAAATCTTCTTCAAACACTACCACTACCGAACTACGAAATGGTATCGACATCACAGTCACCGGCGCTGCCAGCTCAAACACACAAAACTATCCTCACGACATCCGAATGATACCAAAAGATGCATACTTCCACGATATATCAAACAGGAAGAACGATCCCTTTAAAACGATCGACAACGGACTTCCGTACTTACCGGGCCAGTACGAGTACGAGCCCGGTCCGGTCCAAAATCAAATAAGAGGTCGCAACAGGAATCCCATCTACCAGACGGGAGTGTTCAGCGCCATGATGCAGGATCACATCATACGAGAGATTGAAAGGATACCCCACAAGTACGGCGACCGGCTCGACCAAGACACGGAGATAGAAATAGCGAACAGAGGACACTATCGCGGGTACAACGATCCTAGTATGTACTACACGGAACATAGTCTACGCGGACTACAGTCACTCGCGATCAATACAAACATTACGGAGACGCACAGTCAAGCGGACAGAGAGAGTCATAACGATTCAGGATACAGCACTAAAGTGTATGGCAGTTCACAGGGGCCTTCGCCAAGTCTATCAGGGCCCCCTGACGACAAAGATAGAGCAACTTTAGGGGCCTCTAGCCTCGTTTGACAAATCATGACATGGACTTATTTTAGTCCGCTTGTCAAACTTTAAAGGGCACATTTTGATTATTATCCCGCACAGCACCAATACTCACGAAATAAAGATATTTACATCACACGAACTAAAAGTACAAATATCTATCACAAATGGATGCCATGTATCGCACTAAGTTAATATAAGCGACGAGACAGACTGACACTGAGCTTTTGTTTTGTTTTTTATTTTATTAATTTTCATTCGTGTAACATAGCGGTAAGAATGTTTGAAGTTTGTAATATACTTAATATTTATTTGTATTTCCATTTTTTGTATGTTTGTAATGATTTGATATAATAAATGCACTTTGAAAGTGACACAATTATGATCGTTGTATTTATTTCTTATTCAGAGTTAAATTGTGTGATCAAGATTTTAAAAATAAACTATTGAAACATTTCAAAAATACCAAAAATATATTAAAGAGAGGGATATACTTTAAAATAATTTTTATTTTTTGCAATATGTTCTGAACTATTAAAACTTTTTTTCATATATCGATAAAAAGACAAATTCTTATAATTGGATCCTAAAAGAAAAAAATAATTCTCACACACATAATTTTTTATTTCATTTATTATGAAACCTATCTACAATATTTACATTGATTTTAACCAAACATTAATTTCTAAGAGCAAATCTTTCAGACCAGCCATAGTCCCTGTAAAACTGTCCAATACTTGTATGATACAAAGCTTCTCCGGTCAAAACTGATGACTTAGCTGATACTATCCTAACAGCTATATAGTCTCCAGGTGTAATTTGTCTTCCTCCTCCACCTGATGGTAGAACAGTTTGATCGAACACCACTTTTATATACAATTCATTCCTTCCAAGCAGTTGACCCGTTTTAGGGACTATTCCTTCCACTAACACAAGATGTATGTTCCCAATCTCTTCTTCATTCAATCTCTGACATTTCTTTCTGTATAACTCGACCATTCTCCGATGTCTGTCTTTTTTTACATGTTCTGGAACGTCGTCTTTATAACGGCGATAGGCTGTTGTTTTCTGAAAATGTTGAGCCTTAAATTAGATTATGTTCTTGGGGATGCTATAGCACAGTGACAATGGTGTTTTATTAGATCAAATTTTAATTAAAGTAGTAGTAGCAGTAATTTTTTATAGTTATTTCTATCTATGGTGTCTATATCACGAATATATAATACTTATGATGAACTAATAACGTAAAATTTTAGTAGAGGACCTAACTGAGCTAATCACCAATGAAAGGCTGATGCACAAGTTGTGCTCAATTCTAGGGAGATCACATAGTATCGAGGTCAGATTGGGAGGACCTGAAGGCAAAATTTTAGAGATACGGCGTGCCATTAAACTTTAAGTCAAGCCTCCACTAGCACAGCGAATCTGATGTGGAGCTAGTAAAGAAGACTTTATTTATTTATTTACAACTAGCACACTTACAACATACATAATATTTACAATTAAAGTGACTATATTAAAATATCAGATATGTATAATATAATAACTATGTATAAACAGTGCACGATTAAAAGTTTACATGCTAATTTAAAGATAAAATAAAAATATTACGTAAAAATCACAAAATAAAATTAAAAAGTATTACTATATATACTTAGGAAAACTTTAACTGAGAAAAAAAATTGTCAATAATTTTTTGTTTAAATACATAAAATGAATCACTAAATAGATCTAGACTTGGTAATTTTTTGGAAATGTCATTATAAAATTTTACTAATTGCACTACGGGAGACTGGGATCCAAGATTAGTTTAAACGCGCGGGATGTGAGATGTGTTCGAAAAAGAATTCCTTGGGCATTTATAAGGAACATTTAGAAGGAAGCATTCGACTAGGCTACTGTTTTTTAGCTTACATATATATAACCAACCTCTCTCATGCTGTATGGGAACAAGAAGGCGACGTTGTAATCAACTATATCCATCAGAGACAATGTCTCAAGGAACTGATCTTCGGTCTCACCGCAGAAACCACAGATCATGTCAGTGGAGAGACCCACTGGAAATAATGAAAGAAAAATTACTACATATGTACAAATTATTTAAGGAGAATACTCGGTACATGATTCTCATTCGAATTATCTAAAAAAAATAGGTACTTAATTTTTGACCAAATTTTTCGTATAAATAAATAAAGTACGGACACGTTCCAAGTGTTCCAAGTGTGGACGCGTGGTGTTGTATCAGCACGCCGCCGCACGCGTGGGTGTGTGTGTGTGTATACCTAATCTGTAGGGTGTTCACACGATGCGTAATTAATTACATAACTTTTGGTTAACTTTACTCAGAAGTTTATTAATATTTATGTTATATTAATTTTTATTTTGTCATATATGATCGTCAAATATCACGTCCTCAAATATCGATAGTAATTCACCAGTCACCCTGTATATTACCATTATTTTAGAGATGTATTAAGGAATTCCCTACAATAAATATATTATTTCTATTTATATACTAGCATGCAAGGTCGTGGTATCCTAGTGGTTAAATACCCGCCCCTCGTACTTGAGGACGCGGGATCGATCCTGGCAAGTACCAATATGATTTCACTGAATCATATGTACTTTCTAAAACTATTTAGACACCACTGACAGACGGTGAAGGAAAACATCGCGAGGAAACCTAGACTTATAATTTCACAATCACAAGTTTGAAATCACCAACCCCTCTTGAGCAAGCGTGGTGATTAATACTCAAACCTTCTCCATGTGAGAAGAGGCCTTTGCTCAGAAATGGGCTCTGATAGACTGATGACGTATGAATCAGGCAGCTATACGTATCTATTATTTATTGATAAACATATAATGTGTAAATTAAGTCTTCGTAAAGGTTTATCAGAACCATTTTTTCGTACAAATGAGCAGATATTTTGATAATAATATTCGATGTATTTTCAACGTTTGAGAGTAGACGATACTGTAATGTGATCTGATAGGCTGATGATGATGATGATGATTCATATAACTCTCCTTACCGTTTGGTAGAACTTCTCTAACCCGTTCAACCAGTTCTAAATAAGCCTCTCTGGTGTATCCACGCCTCATTCGCTCCAACACCTCGCTGGAGCCAGACTGTGCTGGCAGGTGGAGGGACTTGCAGATGTTAGGACGAGATGCTATCACCTGCAACACCTATAAAAACACGTTACAAATATACATACATATCAACTTAAGTGGCAGACCCTGGCTAAAGCTGGGAGATTGCCATTAAGAAGATATATAGGAACTTAACTGGATGATTAAAACAGACAGAATTGTATGGACATTTTATCCTCCTTGCGGGGCAAAAACTGATTAATTAAATATACAGGGTGACTGGTGAATTACTATCAATATTTAAGGAGCATACTCGGTACATGATTCTCATTCGAATTATGTAAAAAAAATAGGTACTTAATTTTTGTCAAAATTTCCGTATAAATAAATAAAGTGTGTACACGTTCCAAGTGTGGACGCGTGCGGCGGCGTGCTGATACAACAACACGCCGCCGCACGTGTGTGTGTGTGTGTGTATACCTAATCTGTAGGGTGTTCATACGATGCGTAATTAATTACATAACTTTTGGTTGACTTTACTTAGAAGTTTATTAATATTTATGTTATATTAATTTTTTATTTTGTCATATATGATCGTCAAATATCACGTCCTCAAATATCAATAGTAATTCACCAGTCACCCTGTATAAGGGGAAATAAAAATCGACTTGATACTGTTATTTTGACAAATCAATGGAATTCTCTTACATTCAGATTTTTTATTGCTATTGTTTGATATCATAGTCTAAAAAGTGATATTACGGCTTGTCATAGTAAAAGACAAAAAAGGTTAAAGCTAAAATTAAATTTTTATAATCTCGTCAACTTATGTTTAAGAGAAATTGTCAGCCTCTTGATAAGCATTAACAGAGCATTGAATGATATCAACAAATTTTTAATATTTATTAAAGTTATGATGAAATCTCTATCTCTATCATTTGTATTATTATAATCAAACCCACTTCATCAGGAAAGTCTTTGGGGTGTGCTGCTGTAAATCTGATTCTCATCTCGGGATCCACAGAAGAAACTTTGTCTAAGAGGTCAGCGAACCTTAGACCTCCCTTCTTGTTTTTGTACACCGTTTTGAAACCTGTGAATTAAATAATTTAATAATGAAAAAATTTGCAACAGACTCCAAGAATTTGTTTCTTCCTTTCCTTCACTAATAATTTTCTGCCAAAAAAAATATTTAAAAGCATTTTTTATGACTTTTATGAGCAACAACAGATAAATAGAATTTATAATGTAAACCAAATTATATTTTTGTTATATAAAGGAATTACAAACTCTTAGTTTTCTTAACAATTTGCTTACCTTTAGCCATGCTAGTATCGAACTTGTCAGTGTTCTGTGTAACATCTCTATAGCTATTAACGTTTTGTCCCAGTAGGGTGACTTCCTTCACACCACTATCAGACAAGTGCTTCACTTCATCCACAATAGAACTGATAGGTCTTGAGCGTTCTCGACCTCGTGTGAACGGTACGATGCAGTATGTACACATATTGTCACATCCCCGCATTATAGATCTAGTCGACAGAATATCAAAACACTGTATTATCTATTAAAACTACATATATTTAAACTAGCTTTCCGCCCGCAGCTTCGCCCGCGTGGAGTTCGGTTATATCGCGTTTCGAAGAAAACTTTTCAAATGTCTTTGATAAAAACTATCCTATGTTCTTTCTCAAGGTCAACGCTATATCTGTACCAAATTTCATTAAAATCAGTTCAGTGGTTTAGGCGTGAAAACGTAACAGACAGACAGACAGACAGAGTTACTTTCGCATTTATAATATTAGTAGGGATTCATAGTATATGCATTGTGCTAAGTAATAATGTGCCACATATAGGCACCAGTCATTAGGCTTGGCTGGGGCGTACAAGCAGTGCATTTTTACAAAAAACAAGTAATAAAATCTATATCTTACATAAAAGCAGACACACTGTTCTTGTTCAACCTAACTGGGACCACATCAGCGTATGTCTCATCGAGTGACAATAGAACATTCACGGCCGTTTGACCACTCTCTGTCACAGCCAGCAGTCGAGGAAGATCACGGTAACTGTCTGGACCAGCAACTACAAACAGTAGAAAATAACCATTTAAATGAAACTTACATTTTTCGTATTTTACTACGCAACTTAGTAATGTGAAAATCTACATGCTCCCGACATTTCGGCTACTTTTCAGCAACTGTGTTCACGGACATACAAGATGTGATATGATCACGGTTGCTCGAAAGTAACCAAAACATCGACAGTAAGTAGTTTTTCTACAAAAATAAAGTTGCGCTAGTATAGTAAAGTGTCATATGATAAATATTAGTTTCATTGAAATGAATAAAACTCAAGAAAATCTTAGATCTCATTAGAAGATGTCCGAGTTACATATTGTGTATATAAATGTATTGTATTATATTTCTGTAATAATATTGAGCTATGTTTGTACCCTATATCTATATTCAAGACTTAGCTAATATCTCCTTTTTTTTATTACAAAATTTCTTGTTAATATGCAGGCTCTTAAAAGTGCAACTCAAAATAAATCAAAATTAAGCTTTAGCTAGAATTATAGTTTAAATAGAAACAGTTGAATGAAATTTCTTTGACACAAGCAGGATTTGAACCTGTAAGTGATGGATTATTGCATTTCATTTGGTTTATCAACTAAGCTTTCATGCTCTAATTCAAGTCTTCAAATTTGACATGTATTATTTAAAAGGATGACTGGTTTATCATTTAAGGATTTCATAATAATAAAGTTAGGGTTATCAAGAATTCATTTTATATTAAATTATGTGCATGGTGTGTAATACATGTTTTATTGTTTGTGCAACCAATATTCCAAAATTAACTTATATTAAAGATTATATTTTTTTTATAAAGAGAAAGCACACATACCAACATCAACAGCCTTTTCTTTTTCTATCAACTTCTCTTTTAACCGTTCCGCCATGCAACCAAGAATCCCAATCTTAATGGGTTTCATATTTTTTACTAATGAACGCCTTCTCTTGAAACCTCTAAGATGGTCTAATCTGTGCCATATTTTTGTTTCAGCACCTTCCCTGATAGCACATGTCATAACTAAGAAAACATCTGCTTCTTCTTCAATTTCCGTCTTTTCGAAACCCTCCTTCTTTAATATTGACCACACAATTTCTGTATCATTCAGGTTCATTTGGCACCCATACACATCGAAATAAACCTTTCGTTTCGAAGTATCTTGAATAATATCTGGTAAGTACGGTATATAAGGACGATGAGTGATAACTTCAGATGCACCAGTTGATTCCATAATGAAATCCTTTAATCCTGGGCCCTGTGTTATTTTATTTTTTAAATTACTAAGTCTGACATCACTTTTACACCGACACTGACTTTGAGAAGCACTTAAATATCTTAGTATACGCTTGGATCTTAGTAAAAATAACATTGTTTAATTATATTAATATAAAAGGAATTTGTTTATATAACTATCACAATAATAAACAGAAATTTCGAAAATAACCTCAAACACTTTGAAACTGACGTTGACAGCTGCATCTTTAAATTGCCTTACTTCATATCAATTAAAATGGAAATATTTGAAAATAATTAACAGTGAAGCTTATGAAAATTCAAATAGAAATGTTCATTTATTTTATGTTTGAATAATCACTTTTAAAATTAGAAAAACTTGTCAATCAAAAATTTTTTTTGGTGTTGTAAATAAAGCTCAATTTCCGACAAGATGGCCGATTGACTTTTCAATTTACATCACTGTTGAGAAATGGAAATGCAAACAAAATTTTGTTTCAATTACGTTACATAGATTTTTATTAATATGAGTGATCGCTACAGAGAGCACAAAGGTATTCGTATATATTAAAAAAGTCCTCCCTTTAAACTATTACGAATAGACATAACGCCTGTCACTAAATTACTTTCCTAAAATTTATATATTTATTTATCTTTGCCAGTGTTTTCGCATTGGCAGGGTCGTCTCGAACGCGCGATGATTCTAGGAAGCACAAGGAGCGTGAGGCGAGGCGCACGAGGTCTCGATCGAGGTCACCACGACGAAGGCGAGCGTCCCCATCTGGCCACAGAGGATCCCCCAGCAGACCAGGCCGAAGTCGGGAGAGGAACTTAGAAAATGCTGGTACGAATATCTACAACTCCTATCTATTCAGTTCAAAAGTAATAAAATTCACAATAATGAGATCTAAGATTTTCGCGAGTACTCATTTAAATGAAACTAATATTTTTGGATTTCACGGGCAGACGAGATCAGTTGCTGAAAAGTAGCCGAAACGTCGGGAGTATGTAGTTTCTAATCAAAAATAAAACGCGAAGTAAAATCCGAAAATAATAGTTTTATTTAAAATTCACAATACTTGATATTACGTTGTATATTTGTTTTATAGATAAGAGGCGATATTCTGAAAGTTGGGAAGAATCAGACGAGGAAGTTCCCGCTCCTCCGCCGCCTCCTCGTATTAGTAAAATCTCGATCGACTTCTCAAAGCCCAAGGCTCCCATCAAAATGACCCTCGGTGCTACTTCCAAGCCGGCTCCAAAACCAACGGTTGCGTCTGTGTTCAATGCTGATGATGATGACGAACCTGAAGAAATGCCGGCAGAGGCGAGGATGAGAATGAGGAATATTGGGAGGTGAATATCATTTCATCCAATATTTAAATATCAATCACATAATATCTCAAATTTTTTTAACTTGTTCTCTCTGTTATATTGATAATCAAATTTATAAATATAATCAACAGGGAAACCCCAACATCGGCCGGTCCAAACTCATTTGGAAAAACGAAGCAAGGCTTCTGCGATGCCAAGAAAGTGTTTGAAAAGAATTTAAAACAAGCCCTTGAAACGGCCGACAAGCCCTCTGTGAAGTTTCCACAAACCATTTATAAGATCAAACCATAAAATATTATTAATAAAACTTAATTATTACAATTTCAAGAGAATTTATGTCACCGATTAAGAAATTTTTTCACATTCGCCATGTCAAATATTCATGATTGAACATTCAAACCTTAGTTTAGTTTTAAGGTAGTTAAGATAACTTCAACATCCATTTTTATTTCTACAGTATTTGTTCCATGTGATAGACCCATTAGTTATTATTACCGGTGTGTGTATTTGAAATTATGAATTTAATAATATCATTAAAAACTATTCTTTGTTAAAATATGACCTTTAGAAGTTTTCATAACAGAATAATCTGAAAAGACATTGATAAATAAAGCTCGTTTTTATCTATGAAAGTTTAATTTTTGGAACAGAAAGTATTAATTTGATAGAATTGAACTAATAAGCCTTCTTTATATTTATCTACAGAAGATCCTCAGTATAATGATAAGATTATGACACAATACAATTCTTACCTAATTGAGGTCTCTAGAATTGTACTAAAAGGAAGTCTTGAGCAAGCATTCTGTTCCTAGACTTCATAAGTAAGAGGTTTCAACTAAATTCTTAAAGGAGAATTTCAGTTAATTCCTGTATAAAAAAGATTATTGTACCTATTTCCACAAAAACTATTGGAAAATTTTAAGCTGTATAGATAAGCATGTTTGAATAACTGAAAAACTGTTAGCCATATTTCCTTTATATGTAGACCCTGATTTAAAATTCATAGGTAATTTGATCACAAAAATTAAAATGCTGAGTTACTTATTCAGTAAAAGGCACCACTTTTTACATGATCATTACAATAGAGGATTTAAAGATACTTAGTGTAATTTTAATTTTTAACCTGAATTTCTGTAATTATTGTTACTCAAATAAAAAATTGTATTAAAAATAGTATTTCATTGATTAAATAATAAAAAAAATAGACAAACAAATGTTGTCAATCATAAAATTAATATACCAGTAGAATATGTAATCAGTCAGTCAGTGGTGGCCAAGTGGTTAAAGGGCTGCCTCTCGTTGCCAAGGGCGCGGGTTCGATCCTGGCCCGGGCAAGTACCAATGTGATTTTTCCGACTCATATGTACTTTCTAAGAGTATTTAGACATCACTGATTAATGTTGATTCACTGATTAATGTGTATATTTTGACTTTTTTTTTAATTCTTAAGGTATGTTCCTTCTATTTGAAATCATTATGCTTTTACTGATAAACATTTCAGTAATATAAAGAGTTCAATGGGTCATAAATATCTGGGATTAGTAACAATTTTAATATAATATGATTCATGAAGCTTAGTACAATGATCTGTACTTCCAAGATTCACTTCTTATGAGTTATGACATACTCCAATATTAAAACAGTTATTTCAATTCAAACCAGACTCATGTACAAAATTTCTAAATTTTTACTTTTCAGAAAATCATTGTGTACATATTTATATATATAAAACAACTATATAGATTAAACCTCTCAGCAATCCATGGATCCACTGTAGTACAGTAAATAAAAGAGTGTAATGGTTTTTACTTATTTATTAAACATTCACTTCCTCTGTACATTTTGTGGGCGAGCCATGTCCCGAGGGAAGGTGCTCTTGGGTGGTGTACGGATGCGTCTGTCCTTCTTGGAGCGATTGCGGACCACCTTGCTGTGGATTGCGCAGGAGACGCAGTAGTGCAACTTAGCGTAAAGTTTAGGCAACTGGAATGCTGGAAAAATAAAACAGATCAATCAGCGTCACAACACAGTGTAAGTTAATTGAATGATAAAGATTTTTAAATTTTTAAATTTAGAATTTCGATTTTACAACAGAGTTTAACTTTGGAATAAATTTTTATGAGAACACCAACTAATTACCCTATAAGTATACATGTACTTTATATATTAACCTGTATAAGATTTTCGTATAAAATGAAAACAAGTTCCAAGGTTTTCATATAGTAATTAGAACTTACAGGCATAAACGGAGGCTTCGTTGATGTCTCTGACAGCGGCCGCTTCGACAATATTCCTGATCACAAATTTCTTGATAGCTTTGTCCTTAGGTACACATCGGGCGCAGTTTGTGCAACGCACAGCCTTCACGTGCCCGCGGCCGTGCTTGGCTCGTCCTCCGTTACGGCGTTTGCGAGTCTGAAAACAAAATCCATCCCTGAAGCCACATGTCCGAAGTCATACACGCACGCTTAACTGCACTCATTTTTTAATATCACATTCTATTTATGAATACAACTCAGTCAAATAACATAGCCTGATATCAAGACATGACTTTATGTAAGAAAATAATATCATAAAATAGTTTAATTAATGTAAAACATTACGCACCATTTTCTAACCTCCTTTACGGTAAACGAAGAACCACGAAAAAGAATCTTTTGACAGAGACAACGTTGAATGTACGAAAACAAAATTTCCGGTCATAGACATTTCAGACCCAATTTTTTTTATTTAAGTTTTATTTTATTTAAACTTTATATGAGCTTATAATTATAATATTTTTTTTATTTATATATTCTACTATATTACATAGGAAATTATAAAATATTTGTTTCAATCGATCAGAAATAAAATATAATATCATTCATACATTCACTCCTTTTCATTCCGTAATTACAATAATTTCTTAGAATCTGTGATATTTATCATATTTTGCACTTTATTTTTATTCTGTTATCTGTACTTCTGTCGACATTAAAAAATTATTTCATTCAGTCTTCGCATGTAACATTATTTTTGTTGCTAAATAGTATTAAATTTGTATAAATTCTATTTGTTTAGCTTTTTTGCCTTTTTTTAATAAAAGTAAATCTAATGTTGGATATTGAATTACAAAAACTTATAAAAACATAGTGTCGTCATAAAGTGATTGTCAGAGTGTCTATATTTTATCATAATCGTAATCATTATTCAGTGTTATTATAATTGTTTAATTGCGATGTGGCGCAGGTAGTAAATTTAAGAACCGCGTGTGAAATGTCACAACATGGATGCCCTGAGAGACTGTCGAATAGATCAAAGGGCTTTCAGGAAGATGGCTCGAGCCAGCCCACGATGGAAGTTTTGGTCGAAACCCTCACAGGCACGGCCTTCGAAATGACCGTTTCGCCGTCTGACACTATATTTGCGATCAAATCTAAGATATACAGGGTAGAAGGTTGGTTCTCACTATTTGACTATTACACAATCTTAATTCGCGGAACTATGCGTCTTCTGTTTATAATGCGTCATTACAACAAAGGATACGTCGTGGTATCTCAGCTGCGTAAATTACGATACGTGAACGTATGAATTTATTACAATTTATTTCCACACTTAATTGACATATAACCCAAATATATTTTTGCTATAAATGGTCAAATAAATAATTTATCACGCCATGTGTGGACCTGAGTTTGCTGTCATTTTCTATTTACTCTCAAATATTTGCACATTTGTAATGACAGAGATTGTATCAAAAACTCAGTCATTGTATAAACATCTTGTTTACAAAGTGAATATAGAATTACACATAATATTTTTTTCTTTGTCACCATTGAAAAAGGTAATAAATACACCAGGAAGTAATATTTTTATGTTGAAAGCAAGGAACTTTACTTTTTTGTAGCACACTCATGAATGACTCATTGGGTTTTCCATATTTAAGAGAATAAACAAAAAAATCTACATTAAATGTATTGAAAATGTACAACACTTATGGTAAAATTATCTATAATGAGTACATTGATGAACTTATAAGACTTAAATGTTTTGTTTATTCCAAACATGAATAATTATTTTTGTTTTTTTTCTTTGTATGTCATTATTATTATTCACAATATTTTGTTATTGTGAAAGCTTACCAACAGCTGCCAATTTTACCTACTTAAGAACTAAATCTACATTTATACCTGGTGTACAATCTTTTTTTACAATTTTCAAATGATTTTTCAAGTTTTATGTGAAATAAATAGGTTTACTTATAAATCTTTATCACATGTTTAAAAATAGATGTAAAATGTGGGTCGTGATCTGTATTCAAACTGTTTACATTTTATAATTAATTGCCGTTCCAGTTGTATTGAAATAGAATTCTTAAATTTCAGCAAGGTTTTCTATAATCTACAAATTTATTCTCAATAATTATGATATAACGATGTCAATATGTTAAGTAGTTGTTAGCATTCAAAATAAAAACATAGCTGACGTTAAAAATATATTGGACAAGCGGGTGTTTTCTTTTGGCATTTGTCCAGAATTAATCAACAGTTGACATTCAGTGATCATGTGGTCAGGGGATGGATACATTGTTATGTATAGAACTGAGATCACAATGACAAATAATGATAATAATTAATTAATTATATAATTAACACTAGTAATTATCTACTACTTGGCTTTAAAACTGCCTAAATCGAGTGTTAGGTCAATTGTGAGTGTAGTATGATCTCCAAGGCCAGTCAAATAATTAATGATAGAATCATGTTATTATGGTTTTTCTATCAATTTCTGATGAGTATGGTCTATAAAATGGTTTGCTTGTCCTTACAAAAAGATTCATGTACATATATATAAAATATATATTTATATGTATTGAAACGTTTGTGTGTTTATAATTCCAAGGTATCCCAGTATCGCAACAACACTTGCTGTACAATCTTCGTGAGCTAGATGACGGCCTGTCTCTCAGTGAACATGCCATTGGTGACGGCGCGCGTCTACGTCTAGTGTTAGGGCTCCGCGGCGGGCCCGTCGCTACTAGACGACTCCCGCCACCGGAGCCCTGGAGGGACATAGAACGGTTCCTACATCTGCACAAGTCAGACGAGTAAGCATTTGTCATGGATTTTATATTAAAATGTCAGCATCTCTGGTGTTGAGTTCAGAGAATAACTTGTATGTGCTTGTAACATAACACATATATGCTACCTAGCAATCAGCGACATCTATCGTCTGTGACTTCAAACAAAAACAAGTATTATGATGTTTTCCAATTCAAAGACAACAGAATGTCGTAGTAAACTATAGCAGATAGCTCATCTATACTAATATTATAAAGCTGAAGAGTTTGTTTGTTTGTTTGTTTGAAAGCGCTAATCTCCGAAACTACTGGTTCGAATTGAATAATTCTTTTTGTGTTGGATAGTCTAGTTATCGAGGAAGGCTGTAGGCTAAATAACATCACGCTACGACCAATAGGAGCAAAGATATAGTGGTAAATATGTAAAAAACGGGAGAAAATATTTCATCTTTGAAGCCTTCCGTTGCGTGCGCCGTGAAAACGGTTCAAGATAAACAAAAAATATGTATTAAAGAATAATAGCGCTTTTAATGATCTAAAAAACAGTCCGCGACAGTATATGTCTATCTTTTAAGGTTAACTCACAAAAACCGTTTTTATGGTACCTAATTTGGTCGAAATAATTTGTTTAAGTTGTATCAACATAATAATATTAATCTTTATTCAAATAAACAAATAAATATGTTGTTGGCTAAGAGTACTTCATTGTGAATAAAAAAAACATAGGTTTTATCCTGAAAATTCTACGGGAACTCGACCATTCCGAAAACCCCGCAAGAACGGGAACTATGTGGGAAGAACCAAAAATCTGGCGGAAGTCACTATTCCACGCGGACGAAGTCGCGGCAAAAGCTAGTAGATATATATGTTGTCTTATATACGTTGTCTTGATGTCTCAGCTACTTTATGAGAAAGTTTCATCATAACACGATGAATATATTTCACGTGAAAGAACATAAAACGTCCATATGATCTCACAAACATTCATATTTAAGATAGCAGTAAGAATTTCAATCGTCATATACAATTTCTGTGAAATACATACAGTATGTCTTACATTATGTTTGAAATCACGTGTTCTAGACGGTAGATGTCGCTGTAGACTCATCATATTTAAGCACTCATTTCTCCTCCAAATACCCAAGTTATCGCTAATGCGTTTATTGTCAAAAGCTGTCCATATTTAATTGAAAATGAAAATGAAAAAATGTTCATTAACAAAAAACACAACATAATACAAAGAAATGTCCGGTGGTGCCCACACTAGGTATTCCTGTGTCGTGGGTACCAATTGATAGATTTACACTACATGTTTAATGTTGTCGCTCGGCTTAGACTATAAATTACATAACTAATTAAAATCAGAGATTTATTAAAGCTTCCTATATCATCGGTATTAACATGTTCATGTATTTTTAAAGGGATGACAGTGAATGGAGTGGTTCAGGATCAGGTTGTAAGGCGACGGTGTTGGTGTTCAGGGAAGGAGAGAGGGTGAACCTGGTGCCTGTGAGAGAGAACAGGGACGGCACATACTCACCGCTCGACCACAATAAGTGTATGAATATATTTCATATTATTTTGTTCCCATTAAACTATGATAAGCTTTCTATCAGTCAGTGATGGCCTAGTGGTTAAGGGGCCCGCCTCTCGTTGCCGAGGGCGCGGGTTCAAACCTTGGCAAGTACCAATGTGATTTTTCGGAGTCATATGTACTTTCTGAGAATATTTAGACGTTACTGACATATGGTGAAGGAAAACATCGTGAGGAAACCTGGACTTTTAGTTTCACAATTATAAGTTTGAAATCAAAACCTTCTCCATGTGAGAAAGAGGCCTTTGCTCAGCAGTGGGCTTTGATAGGCTGATGATGATACTATGAAAAGCTTATTATTATGTTATGCTCTAAATTTTCTCTGGTCTAATGTGTTGGTTTTATTTATAAACTATTACAAATACAATATCAATTCAAGTAATATCTGATGATGTGTGATATAAAAGTGTCTATAATACATATTTTTACAGATTCATCATCTCTAAGTCATCTTGTTGAAACGGAGGCGGGTGAGGGCGGTGGTGCGGGCGCGGGGGCTGCTGTGGCGGGGGGCGGAGCCCTACATGAGAACGCTGTGACTCTTGGGAAGATGTTGGAGCTACGGAGACGTATGGAGAGACTGGCGCTGCACAGGAGACCGAACGACAGGACCGGTCAGTACAGACACACACACACACACACGCACACACATGCTCACTCAAACACACAGAGACAACATGTCTTCTTCTTCTTCTTCTTCTACCTGGCAATTTCCTGGCTATAGCCAGGGTCTGACTTGCATATTGTGAATAATTTTTGGCTTATTGTCTTCTACAACAGGCCGCTTACTCTCTTTGGGAATCAGCATTAATCAGTGATGTCTAAATGTTCTTAGAAAGTACATATGACTCGGAAAAATCTCATTGGTACTTGAACGGGCCAGAATCGAACCAGAGCCCTCGGTAATGAGAGGCGGTCTCTCTAACCATTAGGCCACCACTGACTACACAGAGACAACATGTATTGACATAAAATTCATGTACATATTTGAGAAAAACTTAAAAACAATATGAGATCTCGAAATCATGACCTTGTGTTGATGTTATAAATAAATAAGTATGTTTAAATGAATGATAACTAATTCTATTTCTTACACACACTTATATATTGAATCTCATAAAATCAACTGGTTAGCTAAACATTATTAAGATTTTATTCTATAAATTATTTAGAGGAATATATGTATAGGAATTACAAAGTATTGTTAAATTATATAACAGATATTATATGTATCATGTCTGTATGAAGACAATTATATATATATATATTATATTTTATATAAACACAACATTTTTTGTAAATTGTATATTATTTTTAAGTCTAAATTGAAATATTGGATGTCAAGTCCATTCTTATTATAAGGAAATAATAAAAAACATTACTTTAAAATTAAGGACGCTCTTCAATGTCACATTGTGGTGACATGGAATATTAAAAAAAAAAACAGTTACTGAATGAATGATTACATATATGCAATTTTGCAGTCATAAGTCAATCTATCTATATATATATAACATCATCATCATTCTATCACAGCCCATTGTTGAGCAAAGGCTTATTTCTCTCTTGGAGAAGGTTTGAGCATTAATCACCATGCTTGCTCAAGACGGGTTGGTGATTTCAAACTTATAATTGTGAAATTATAAGTCCAGGTTTCCTCACGATGTTTTCCTTCATATGTCAGTGGTGTCTAAATACTCTCAGAAATTATAACAAAGTTTTAATATAATTTAATAATGTATTCCAGGTGATTCTCATGACATTCAGAAGACGAGGAGCGAGGAGACCTTATCAGTGCCGAGTTTGTTGGACGAGGGCAGGAGCTACGCCGGCTACGACGAGGAAGGCTTCGCGCCCCTCTACGACGGCAGCTACACGCGCTACGACTACGACTGCGGGTTCAATGACCGATACACACTGCTGCCACCTATCGGAACAAGGACGGACTCGGATCAGTCTATACAAGACTCTGTAGCTGAAGAACGACTGAAGTTATCGGACGCGCTCGCTGGGTCTATACTTGTTAAGGCGAGGGAGGGTCGAGATGATGATGCGATATTAGAGGAATGTGTGGACGGGGAGCAGTGTTTGAGGAGGGACTCCCCGCCGCTGGCCAACAACTTGGCGCCCGTACAGGCTGAATACGGTACGACATACTACTAACATGTACACACTAGGATTATTAAATTATATTAAAACTATGTTATACACTTTCTGAGAGTATTTAGACATCACTGACATACGGTGAAGGAAAACATCGTGAGGAAACCAGGACTTATAGTTTCACAATTATAACTTCAAATCACCAACCCGTCTTGAGTTAGCGCGGTGATTATGCTCAAACCTTCTCCATGTGAGACGAGGCCTTTGCTCAGCAGTGGGCGCTGATAGGCTGATGATAATAATATATATATTTTTAAAACTAGTATTTAAAAAAAAACTTAAAACTACATACTCTCGACGTTTCGGTTACTATACATCAACTGTGATTACGGGCAGACGAGATGTGAGTGTCTGTCAGTTGATCTTGTTATTTTATAACGAACCGTCATCGATTTCTTAATTTTCTACAATACAGTTCTAGATGCCAGCACTATGTAATATTTTATTAAAAATAAAGTGGCGTAGTATATCCGAAAAATTTGCATCATTTAAATGAATAAGAATCGGGATAATCTTAGATCTAAATGTGTATATTATATATGGTTCTTTTTCGGTTCTTCTCAGGTCAGGGTATTTTTTCCGAACCGGTGGTAGTCTCAAGTGACCATCAATAAGAAAGTGTAATGCTGCTATATTGAATAAAATTATTTGAGTTTGAGTATATATGTTTTTGTTTGTAGGCGCGGTGTCAGTGGGTGCTCGTTGGCGACGTTCGTCCTCGTCGCTAGGCGCAAGGGCTGCGCCTCTCGCTGATACATTGTTCTGTTCCTCTACATCTGATCTGGAACAACTGCGACGGAACAGGTCAGTAGTATGAAACATGACTTGTACTGTTAACTGTATTATTACTACTTACTATTATATTTTTTGTTATAAAATCTTATCAATTTTCTGAATTATATATTATAACTAGGGCCCTGGATTAATATGTAAATACATATTTTTAATTTACGCGATTTTCATTCTAGAATGTGTTTATTACATGGATTTTCATATTTAGACTGAAAAACCAAGTTTTATTTTCCATATTTTACAAGAAAATGTCACAATCATCCATATATTCACAAAAATACATAAAATTTACGTTTCCGCCACTTATGTTTTAGATAAAAATAAAGGATTAAATATGCTAAAAAAAAAAATAACAAAATTCTGTGCGAAAGTTTCGAGGGCTGTAGACATGGCTTACACTATTACTGAATTAAGCATGTTTAAGTATGCATCCATCGCGTCATGTGACTTGAGATGAGACGTAATGCTATATGTCGACCAAATGGTCAGTTTTCATTTTGATAATTTAAAGAAGCACATCATTGTGTATTGCAACCAATTTGATAAGGCTAGTGTAATGGAAGTTGAATAAAACTGTTATTTTTTGTTGAAATAAATATTTCGCTACTTTTTTTCATCGTATAAATAAATAAATGTAACTTAACGATGTACGTCACGAGTGACCCTTTTCTTATAGTAAAACAATGTTTAATTATGAAAGTATTAATTTCATACTCCATATTTTTGATTTTTTCGTCCATATTTTATGTACATATTTTAGATTTTTTAATACATATTTATCTGGGCCCTAATTATAACATTTGTGCTCAATGAAAAAATTTCATGTGAGTCACGTTGTGTGTATGTGTGTGTCAGGATCCTGCCGGCTCTAAGTCGTCACCGTAACCGCGAGCACCTGCACCTGAGCGACGAGGGGCTCGACCTGACGCGGCCGGAGCCCGAGCCGCAGCCGGAGCCCGACAAGAAGGCGCGGGTGAGGTGCGGCTTCTGTAGGAAGAGACTCAGCATAGCCACCGTGCATACATGCCGCTGTGGGGCCTCCTTCTGCGCGCCACACCGCTACGCAGAGGTCCACGGCTGCGCGTACGACTACAAGGACGGCGCCCGCGACCTACTCCGCCGCGCCAACCCGCTCGTGGGCACGCCCAAGCTGCCCAAGATATAGTACACACGCCCACACACTCACACTGACAAGGACTCGGGACTCAGTGATGTCTGTGAACTAATAAATGTTTCGACCGTTCATTGACCTGTGACCTGTGAGTGACTCGTATCGTTTTGGAGGTAGATCAATAAATCGTCCAACGTAAAGTAACGGACTGTCGAGTCGACTGATTGTGATACACTGACCTAAATTAAGATTAAAATGTTAAACCTCATCCGCCACGTGTGTGTTTTCGTAATGGATAATAAATGAATTTTGAAAAATTGAAAAAAAAATATAACTATTATATATATAGTAATGAAAAAAATATATATTAATAGATAATAAAATAAATGTTATAAAATACTCTGCGGCGGTAGTCGGAGGTGCTTGTTAGTGCTAGGTCACTCTCTGTTTTGTTGTATGATACATGTAACGTTAGTTTAATTGCTACTAACAGCTCGCGCGCCGGCCGGCCGTCTTATATATATATAAACTATATATATTATTGTCTTATGAAGCTATTGGTTAAATTTTTTGTTACAAAAAAATATGAAACGCCAATAGCGTTATAAATCGTATCGTTCATTGCTCGAGGCGCGCCGGCCGGTCGCGACGTTTTATTTGTATCCTTATATACATTTTTTATTAATATATTGTATGGTATTTGCTTTGAATAATTTGATAACAGTCGCCTGGCCGCCGCCCGCCGCCCGCGGTCGGGAGGTAGTCGGACTATATTTTGTATAAAATATATTTTGAATGGAAGCGTTTGATAAATTGTTGATTGTTTGTTCCGAGCGCGCCCAGCTCGGCCTCGCTCGACGAGTTCCTATGATGTGTACACGAATGAATTGAAAAATAATTGTATTGTTATATGATGCGCTAATAACACTTTGTTGATATTTTGATATTTCTTGTTATTTATCGACAGCGGGGTATTTGACCTCATTAAAAAATATAATCATATTATAATTTAATTTTTTGTTTGGTATCAATATATATTCTGTCTCTACCTCTGGGTACCTCCAGGTCAATACCCCGCTGTTAATATATTTTAAACCTAATGTCCACTCGGTAAAGTTTATTTTGGAAGGTAATCGACTAGACGGTATTCGGTCGTAGGTAACTTTATTTCGAATATAATTTTGGCTGATTAAAAAATAAATATTTATAATGGGAAAACGAAATATAAACTCTTTTATTACAAACTACAGTAAGTACAGGCTTTGAGCGACCGACTCGATTGGAGCCGCTGTTACAGTTGAGCAAATGTTCACTAACTAGAGTTAAAAATACATCTAACAATAAGATTATATATAATACATGAGGAACACGAGCTTGGCTTAAATAATTTGGCACTCGTAGAATATATAGATTAGTGTTATGAGAAGACGAATTCATCAGTGTCTTTGAGTAGTGCCTCTAGTATCCGCGCCAAGTTGTCCAGACCGTGTTTGAAGTTCTCATCGACCTTAATCTCTTCATCTTCGTGTATAAAGCCGTGCGCGAAGTCCACGAGCCGCAGTAAACCGGCGGGGCTCCTGTCGCCGCCCCTGTTGGCTATACGGTCGAGGCGCGCGCGGTACTCCATTTTGATTCGGCTCAGCTTCTCTTGATAGTTGTTGTCGAAGGAGTGACTGCCTTCCAGTCGAGCCAGCGCCGCGCCCCACGGGGAGCGGACCGGCGGCGGGGAGGAGGGGGCGCGCAGGGGGAGGGACGGCAGGGGAGTGACATGCCCGCTGAGAACAGACGCTCCCGGCAGGGAACGACGACGGACGAGCCGGGGAGGACGGCAGGCTGGGACACCGCTGTACATATATGGTGCGGTTATTAGTAACATACAATGAGATCTAAGACTCGCGAGTACTCATTTAAATGAAACTAATATTTTCGGATTTTACTCCCCGTTTTAAATTACATCTCGTCTTAATGATCACGGTTGCTGAAAAGTAGTCGAAACGTCGGTAGTATGTAGTTTGTAATCAAAAATAAAACGCGAAGTAAAATCAGAAAATATTAGTTTCATTTAACTAACATACAATCTGGACGGTTTCAGGGTACACTGCGGGAGTTAACAAAGAATATACGCTTTATTATAATCATCTGACTTAATATCTGGATGTGTTATTTTAAAGACATTGGTTTAATTTTCATTAAGAATATTTTGTGTACCAGTGACGCCATCTATTAGGAAACAAAAGAGTTGACAACATGAAATGAAACAACTCTGTAAATACATCGAAAATTATCTTAATGGGAAAAAAGCGATTTGACCTCGGGACGGTTAACACTAGTAACGCAGAAATACTATTTGATATTGGTAATTGGTGAACAAATGTCAGAAATAAAATACAAGGAAATATTAAGAGGATAATGTCTTAACGAGAATGAGAACCTTGTAAAAAAGTAAAAAATATATATATACTGACTATCATAACATCAGTAAATCAAAACATTTCAAAAACTATATTAATATTTAAAAAAATCTTTTCTAATGTGCCTTAAATCTTTAAATAGATCACTTTCGCCAGTAACAGAAATAATTCAATTTTATTGTTTACGAGATATATTAAGTTTGTGAAGTTATAAAAACCCATTGAATAAAATGAATTGAACGTATATGGCAACCCTAATATGACGAAGTATGAAATCGGTGGCATGTTCAGGGACTTATTTAATACTAGCTTTCCGCCCGCGGCTTCACCCGCATCGAGTTCGGTTATATTGCTATCCAACAGAACTTCAAAAGTCTGGGATAAAAACTATTCTGTTCTTTCTCAAGGTCAATTCTCTGTATCAAATTTCATTAAAATCAGTTCAGTGGTTTAGTCGTGAAAGCCTAACAGACAGGCAGAGTTACTTTCGCATTTATTATATTAGTAGGATAGATCAGCCTCACCCGTCCCCGCAGCAGCTCCTGAGCACGGAGGCGTCGTACAGCAGCAGCAGAGATGACGAACGGAGCAGCACCCCGCCTCGAGATATAACACGCTGCAGCTCCCATAGTGCTGCTAACAGCTGCACCAGCAGCGCCCGGCACGACGAGCCCGAACTCGCGTTCAGGAACGAACGGATCACTACACGACGAACACACAAATATATTAGATAAACCTTATTAAACAAGAAAACTTTGAGACATCGGGAATCTTAATATTAAACTATTTCTTCTTCCTGGCCATTTCCCAGCTTTAGCCAGGGTCTGCCTTCCTACTTCAACTTGTCACTTTGCACGGTCTTTGGCATATATTAAACTATTTCTTAAACGTATAAAACTATCACTCAGATGAATTTTATTAGTAATGGTTTCGTTAAACAACTTTATTGCGACCAAAACTTGTCTTTTCAGAAATTAACAGGCGAGCCGTATAGAACTAATATTTTTAACTCAAAATATGTATATTATTTTTCAAAATAATATCTTTTCAAATGAAACTAATATTTTCGGATTTTAATTCACGTATTTTTTCGGGCAGACGAGATGTGAGTGCCCGTGATCACGGTTGCTGAAAAGAAGCCGAATCTTCGGGAGTATGTAGTTTGTAATCAAAAATTAATACGCGAAATAAATTCCAAAAATATTAGTTTCATTTAAATGAGTACTCGCGAAAATCTTAGATCTCATTATATCTTTTCATATAATCGTTTGAGCTCTTTGTACTTCTACCCTAGTACGTACGTACCCGTGACAATCTGTTCCCCATAAAGTCTCTTCCCCTGTTCCTTCCCGCCTCGCACCAGTTCCCCGTCCCTGGCGCCCCCCACTCTATACACCTGGTACCCCGGGATACAGAACCCGTACTGCTGTTTACAGCGCGTGTATTTGCTCTCTTCGCGCTTTATTTTATCAGCGGAAGCGTACGGATCGTAAGTTATTCTGCCTGGAAGATACAAATTATTAGATAAAATATAATTTATTTTATGATAATCATCATACATTTAGAGTAGTCGTCTTTTAAACTTCTACCTTAGAATGATCTTAGAGAAATACATAAATACGTATAATATTTACTAGCCGATTGCTCAACATATACATATATAGTCCGTTAAACTTAAGCTGACCTTTCCATATGTGTGAGAGAAAGTAAAAGTAGAGTTAGACAAAAAACCTTTGGAATTCAATTTTATTATATTTTGAATAGATACATAACATAAGTACGAGATCTATTCTAGATTAAAAATGAAATAAGCAATACTTGTAAAAGGCCAAATGGAAATTATCGATAGAAAATTATTGAGTAATAAAAATTTTGAAAAATTTTTTTTTCAAAAATTTTTTCACTTGACATTGCGTTTTCAAAAAACAAAAATTTGACATCACACCTACACTATCTGTGTGCACTCACTCAAATGTAAAGCTCAGCTTAAATCAACCGCACTATACCTATGTAATAAATCCTCTAATCTAGACCTAACCCACCAATCTTAAGATCCATCACACATGGCTCCAACATCCCGTCCGTGAGGTCCTCCAACATAATATAGTCTTGTTCGAACCCGTTGTAAGTGAACTTCCTGACGCCGTAGTACTTGGGGATGAACTTCCTGAGCTGCACCAGATCCGGTCGATTGGAAGACATTATTCTTTCGTAGAACTCAACCTCTCTCTTCTGTGACTCTTTCAGTATCGGCTTGAGGATTGTTCCGTCGCCGCATTGGAGTAGGCCTGGAATGATTTTTGAGTTGTTAGAAATCAAACATTAAATTGCAACTACAACTTACATAGATATACATCTAGATTCAGACAAATAAAATAGACTTAACAGTATTCTTCTACCTGGCAATTTCCCAGCTATAGCCATGGTCTGCCTTACACGTTATGAATAGTTTTGGTTATTTGTTTTTAACCCTCTTTTGGGAATTAGCATTAATCAGTGATGTCTAAATACTCTTAGAAAGTACATATGACTCGGAAAAATCACATTGGTACTTGCCCGGGCCAGGATAGAACCCGCGCCCTCGGCAACGAGAGACGGGCCCTTTAACCACTAGGCCACCACTGACTAGACGTAACAGTCTATGTTTATTAAAAATTTGAGTCTTTATACAGCAGTTTCTAGTGCTGACATATAATACATGATCTGTCTCTAACCTGTGTATTTCCCTCCCGCCACGTCCCCTCCATGTCCCGCCACCTGTCGTGTAAACCTCCTCAGTGGTAGCGGGGACGCCATCACTGAACCCCTTCGCTCCAGACCGTAGTGGACCTACACAAGTACAAAAATAGTTTTCTCAAGTCACAGACGTCTATACAATTGTTTGTTCGATTCATCAACGGATAACTAAAAACTTCGACTATATGTTTCAATTAACGATATTAAATAGAAGTTAATAGCGTTATCGATTATAATTAATTAATATACGTAAAAACTAATAGGGTACTAGTAATAGTTAAATTCTCATATGTCACGAGAAACAGGGCAGGTGTATACTTTATAATGACAGTTTGTTTTGCGTATAAAGAATTAAGTGAGTTGTTGTGAGAAGTTAAATTTGACGAATCGTTAGACTTGATTAACCTAAACCGTAGCTCCGTGCAGGGCAGGTATCACACTAAACAACGGAGATAAAAGGGGAATGTTCTAATAATAAAAGGGAATTATGTTATAAAACATACAAATAATAACAAAATGTTTTTTTTATATATGTAAGTACTTGAATATTAAATAAATAGAAGTTCTGTTCCATTCAAATACCTATAGATTGTCGCTAATAAGGTTTTTTATTTATTACATTAATCCTATGTAGTTATCGTTTATTGCATGAGATCATTCTTAGAGGGTTTTTTATTTGTCATCAGCGTTATCAGCCTAACAAAAGATCTGAAGAGCCGATATATGAAATATCAATTGAGTTTTGTTTTATCTTTTCCAAAATTAGGCGAACTTAACTTTATAAGCGGTTATTTACCGTTACGATAACAAAGTATCGTTTTTCAAATGTCTTGCAAAGAAACTTACAACGTTTGGAAATTTATAACAAAAAGGGGGCATTATATCTTCTTAGGAAATAAATGTCAAAAAACTCGATTTATTCTGACATATATTTTACTTCCCCAATAAAGGACTTCCTTACTGATACGATACACTCGTACATTTTAAATAAACAACAAAACAATTTTACTAGTAAAGCTAAATGAACATACAATTGTTAAAAAACACAACAGCTTTATGGTATTTACTATTTGATAATTGGGGCCTAAATGAGTCATAATATTTTTTGTTGAAGTAAACAATCTTATGCTGAAAAACTCCTAAGAATTCAGAACAACACTAAATCTACCATATCATAAATACTTACCTGATAGATAGATCTCTGGCGTCGAGGAAGTTTTCTTCCATTAGACCTGTTGGACACATCACTCATTTAGTATTAAACCTGGAAAAAAATAAAAGAAACTGCCGTCACTTGTGTATAACCTCGCGCCAATATAGGTTATAATTATTCCTAACAAAATTATCACACATTGAAGACCAAGGAAATTGTAAGGTTTTTAAGTGGGCTTACTGTAAACTAATCATTGAATAAGAAAAATTTACTACTAATAGCGAAACAAATAATACTAAATGACAACGGAAATACTAAAAATATTCACTATCATAAACATTATCGAGGGTAAAGCTAAATATATGATGACTTCGACAACGAGAAATATTTGTTTGCTTATTAGAATTAGGTACAAAAATGGACGACAAAATTTGTCAACTCATTTGAATTCTAACCGCCGTTAGCACCAATGTAAATAATTAGCAGTTATTATATTTAATAAAATACACGTACTGAATATATTTGAAACTAGGAAATTCTTGTATTTATAAATACTTATACTACACTGGCCCTGTAAACAATCTCAACTGTACATGATAGATTTTTTTTATCTAATCATCAATAAATCAATATTGACGTCTTTATCCATTCTTACAATATTCGCATTTTATTGATAACACAATATATTTTACATAACATTTGTTTCGATATCACGAAATAAAAAACTTATCTTCATATACAGGGTGACTGGTGAATTACTATCAATATTTAAGTAGCATACTCGGTACATGATTCTCATTCGAATTATGTAAAAAAAATAGGTACTTAATTTTTGACCAAATTTCCGTATAAATAAATAAAGTGTGTACACGTTCCAAGTGTTCCTAGTGTGGACGCGCGCGGCGGCGTGCTGATACAACAACACGCCGCCGCGCGCGTATGTGTGAGTGTGTAGTGTAGAGTAATCTGTAGGGTGTTCATACGATGCGTAATTAATTACACAACTTTTGGTTAACTTTACTTAGAAGTTTATTAATATTTATGTTATATTAATTTTTATTTCGTCATATCATATATGTATCGTCAAATATCACGTCCTCAAATATCGATAGTAATTCACCAGTCACCCTGTATAAAAGGTTTATAAAAAATGAAAAACTTAAGAATTTCAATTATTTAATATATATTTTAATGTACATGTTATTTATAAATATTGATCATATAATATATCCCCAATTCTATTTTATCCCTTTATATTTGTACACCCCTTCCCCCGTCTTTCTCCCTAGCTTCCCTTGTGACACTAGGGTGTCAATGACCTCCACTGGTCTGAAGACTGTATTCCCGGTCCTATTCATCATTACTTCTAGGATATACTTCTTAGTATCGAGCCCCGTGAGGTCAGCCAACTCCAACGGACCCATCGGGTAGCCGGCACCCAATTTCATTGCCACATCAATATCGCTAGCTGTGGCATCCCCTATAATTAATATCCCTTTATACTGTGCAATATAAAGTTTAAAAAAAAAGAGGAAGGATCAATAAAAAAATAAAAGCGAACATACAAAAGATATATATTTATAAAATGTACAATACAATTCATAACAATCATTTCTTATATTTATAGATCCCCTCCCCCGTCTTGATGCCAAGTTTGCCTTCTTCCACCATTTTATTCAGTAATGGTATAGGTTTGAACACGGGGTTCTTTGTCTTCTGGTACAAAACTTCAAGGACGAACTTGTTAGTATCAAGTCCAGTGTAGTCAGCTAACTCTAGTGGACCCATCGGGTACCCTGCACCAAGCTTCATACCAATATCGATGTCTTCTTTACTAGCATCACCTAGACACGAGAAAAATATATTCCAAATATATTAAACATTACATAACATAACAATTAATATTAAAAATTATTTATCAATAAAAAAATATATCTGAACTGGTAAAAATATAAAACACATATACATAAAATAAAAGCACTTAACGAGCACCAAGCTATATACATGATAATACTTACTATACCTCAAAAAGATCATTTTTATAGCACCCACAACCCTTATAATAAGGTATTTACATATTTCACATAAATATATTATAGTGTGATCAAAAGCAATAAGATCTAATATTTTAGGAAATAAAATACACATATACATATATACTTTATAGATAGACTTTAGGTAGTACAGTTATATTATTCTATTTGAGTATAATATTCTTTATAACAATGTGTAAGTAGAAAAACATTGTTATAATTATTGAACCATGCAAGTAAAAATTGAGAATTTGGCTAAAACAGAAAGGTCCCCATTGGATATTTTGTATATGTAGAAACTCTATTATCCGGCCCTCAGTTATACGTATTCTCGATTATCCGGACTACGGACAAGTCCGGACAAAAAAGATGTCAAAGCGTAAGAGAGCGGTGTTGTTGAGACTAGCGTAGGTCAAATGACAATTACCAAATACTCTAAACCAAATGAAACTTATTATTTTAATTCATGATTACCAATTCCAAATTACCAAATACATATTGTTATTTAATTTTTAAATAAACATGTAATGTGATGAACTACATAAGCACAAAACCGTCTTTTCTTCATACATTCGATTATCCGGATTTTCGACTATCCGAATGCCTATCGACAACAATTAGTCCGGTTAATAGAGTTTCTACTGTATTAATATAATTTTTATGAAGAACACCCAGCAAGCTTAACCCAGCTCAAACAAAGCTCACCTCTCTCAAACATTCTGAAAGCCTCAGCACTATAAGGCCCTAGAAGTCTATTGACAACAAATCCAGGAGTATCTTTGCAGGTGATGCATGTCTTGCCGACTGACTTGCCCCACTCCATCATTGTGTTGTAAGTCTCTTGGGACATTTCATCACTCTTGATAACCTCTAGAAGACGCATTACAGGCACTGGATTGAAGAAGTGAAGCCCACCGAACCTATCATGGAAAGTTCTAGATCTTAATGCTGGCTAACCAAGAGATACTTCATGAAAAATTTAAAATTTTGAAATATATACTAGTTTGTGCCCATGATTCTGTCCACGTACACATAAGAGTTATTTTCAGTGTGTTAAAACAATAGATTTAATTACTTTTGTCACAGCATTTCAAGTTTAGATGCAACATAGTCTACCAGAATAATTTATAGAAAAAATCTGGGATTCCGAACAAATGCTTCCAATAAAATTATCTAAATTGGTCCAGCCATTTAGTAGTTCCCACACTGAGTACGTACATGTACTATAAGTGATAGTGGAGTATCAACAAAGGATAGAATATTGTCATTTAATAATTATTATCAAATAGTGTTATCAAATTTATTATGTATAACTTTACTAAACAGTTGCATATAATGGGTCGTTGGAAGCCATTTTTAAATAACACATACTCATATATAATATAAATATACAGGGTGACTGGTGAAATACTATCAATATTTAAGGAGAATACTCGGTACATGATTCTCATTCGAATTATGTAACAAAAATAGGCAATTAATTTTTGACAAAATTTCCGTATAAATAAATAAAGTGTTGACACGTTCCAAGTGTTCCAAGTGTGGACGCGTGCGGCGGCGTGCTGATACAACACCACGCCGCCGCGCGCGTATGTGAGTGTGTGTGTATACCTAATCTGTAGGGTGTTCACACGATGCGTAATTAATTACATAACTTTTGGTTAACTTTACTTAGAAGTTTATTAATATTTATGTTATATTAATATTTATTTTGTCATATATGATCGTCAAATATCACGTCCTCAAATATCGATAGTAATTCACCAGTCACCCTGTATATAACTGTTATGTATTAGTTATGCTTGCTCGATATTGTTAAAATAATAATTATTATTAATAATATGATGTTGAGTGTAATGTAGGTATAGTTCGTTAGACTTAAGCTGAGCTTTGCATTTGTGTGAGTGGAAGTAAAAGTAGAGTTAGACAAAAAACTTTTAGAATTAAATACATATTACTATATTTTAAATAGATACATAATATAAGTCCTAGACCTATTCTAGATTAAAAATGAAACAACCAATACTTGTAAAAGGCCAAATGGAATTATTATGGAAAAAAAATTATTATGTAATAAAAATTTTGAAAAAACAATACAAATTTTTCTTCACTTGACATTGCGTTTTTTAACATTTCACGTTGCTACCAGTACAAAGGGTGAAGTGCGGAAGGTGCGGGGCGGAGTAAAACCAGTATAAACCGGTTCAAATCGAGAAAAGAATTTGGCATTCAAAAATTTGACATCACACCTATACTATCTGTGTGCACTCACACAAATGCAAAGCTCAGCTTAAATCAAACGCACTATAGATCACTTTATTATATTAGTTGCTGTCATTCAGTTTGTTACTTAGCACAATACATGGTAAAAGAATATAGTTTTTTTGAATACTACAATTACCTGTCTTTTCTCTTAATACCGCTGCCGATCTCATTGATTGATATAGATGATGTGTTGCTCGCTAGAATTGTATGTTGTGGAGCCAGCTGAAAGAATAAAACCAAATAAAATATAATACAAAGAATATGTATATGCTATTTAAGGAAAAAGTAACAGTAATCTTTGTAATCAGATGTAAGATATACAAACTATAGGCAAATATATCCAAAGAACACTAACCTTACATATTTTGTTAAAACATTGAAATTAATCAACATTCTTTAATTCAGATCAACAAGCAAGTATATATATTAAATAGAATAAACTTAATGTAAAATCTCACTGCCAGTGATTAAGAAAATAATGAGTTTTAATTAAATCTCAATAAACATAAAAGTTAAACTTTTTTGTTTCAAATAAATCCTTTATGATGTACCAATAGTTACATGTTATATACATATATTATATTTAATGAACAATCACTTCAATTACCTAGGAAGTTTATAATTAGAGATAATAAGACTTTTCATTATTCCGATATGATTAATCTTAATTAACACAGTCATTTATAATCTCACCTCATCCAATCTATTGAATAGTTTCTGTTTCGGTTCCAGTAACTCGACAATGGCTTCTACAATCAGATCAGCATCTACACCATCTTCTATTTTGGTTGAAACCTTAATTCTATTATTAGCTTCTTTAACAAATTCCTCCATTTTAGAAGGATCATCTTTATACAGCTTTCTCGCCACTCGCCCTAGATTGTTTTGTATGGATTTCTGGGCTTTTTCAAGGATATCCGAATTCAAGTCGACTATTGTAACATTTTGTCCGGCTTGAGCTGCAACCTTTAAAAACCATATTTATATAGAAAATCATTATATATATTCAATAAACAATTTAAGAAACAGCAAATAAAAGTTTTGTAATTATTTCAGAGATAAAAGTTTCCAAGATTGTGGTTAAAAATAACTAGTCTTTGTTGTATACAATAATTATAATAATATTTGCATATAATTACAACACTTTATTCTTGTAATTAAAATTCTAACATATGTAGTTGAACTTTGAACCGTTAACACAGGACTATGGTTTACTAAAGGTTTATCGGTAAACCTAATGTTAATGTTATTTAATAAAAATATTTAAAAAGAGCTCCTCTCTGATACTGACTGGAATTCTTCTTTTTAATGTTGCTGTAAAAAGAAATGTGCCAAATAGGGGGTAGATGAGAAATAATACAATAAAAATTACAATAATTAATTTCATATTGAGAAACAATTTATTTTTAAATGTTAACCAAGCCTAACTCAACATCAAATCAGGTATAAACAAATGAAAATAGGAAATTAGTATTAATTAGCTAATTAATCAGTTGTTACTTGCCTGTGCGATTCCAGAACCCATAAGTCCGCCGCCGACAACTGTTACCTTTTTTATAGCATTTAAAGATGCCGAATGGGAAAACTTTCTACATATAACGTTCAAATTATTCATATTGATAAGTGATACGCGTTCGTTCCGTAAGAATCATTCAATTACAGTGGTCAATGTTACATATAAGGACACGGATCAACTTGCCCCCACCTCCGCGAGAAAGTACCGATCAAAGTTAAGTCTTAAAAAATAAAATTATCAACTCACCCATCGCGAAAATATGTGTGTTGGTGCCGCTTGAACACATTTTATCTGATAACTTAGGTGATAACAATGTAAATAGATAAATTGAATTTCGTTTATCTCAGTCTTTATTATTGTATAGGAATATAATTAAGTAACTCAGATAAGGTAATGAAAAATATGAACTATAAAATAACAAAGTCATCCAGTATTAAATTGTTATCTCTAAGAAACACATTATTATGACTTTTGTACTTGGGACTGTCAGAGCCTGTTCTCATTACCAAGTTAGTGACTACATCTGACAGACTTAACTCAGAAATATAAACTGATCACTACTAAATGTCAAAATTCATTATTTCAACTTTGTATTGGAGGGTTGAGCAAAAGTGAATTAATATTTATTTACTTTTCTTCTTAATTTTCTGTTTGATTTTTAATAAATTCTGTTTTTTTGATAAAACACATTTTTTATAATTGAAATGTCTGACAATTGGAAAGTAAATAACATAGAAAAGATTGTGGTCCGTTATAAAAGCAAACAAAGTAAATTATTGATTTCAAAAATTTTCTAATTGTTAACTGCTTACAGCAAAATAACAATAACATATATGATAATTTACAAAAACAGTCACAGTGTAGGACATTTTAATAATGTTGGAATATATCCTATTCTTGCAATCAATTTCCAATAGAAAATAGAAAGTGAAAGATTAATAGCCACGATCAATATTCGAATTAAGATAATGTGAAAAAGTTAATTGTTCGTTTACTTTTAGTGTTGACAAATTTTTATCTCCAAATTTCTATTTGATTTTTTATTTATAAATTTACCTCGAATTTACGAACACGAGCGTACCTACTTATAGTAAGAATATTTTTTTACAGACCAAGTTGTAGGAAATTTAACTTTTTAGTTTATTTACATATTGCAACGCATAATAGTTAAATTTCACTCAATTAGTTGTAGAAGTTAATCCAGTAAACATAAAAGAAATTAACTTAACTTTAAAAATAAATATGAAAAGTTTATTTAGGTATCCTACTCTTATCTTAGCTTCTTAAATAATTTAAAATCAAAAATGATCTTGAGAATTCACACTGGTTCTCTCTAATTGTGATTTACTTAAATTATAAGCTTATTTCTTGAATTGATATTTATTTTACATTCAACATTACTTAAGATGAAGACACACGACTCACTTGAGTGGGTCGATGGCTCGGTTTTCGGTATAGATGTTCTTTGAAATTGCAATTTTACTGTAGAAATCTTTAATTTATCCGCATAATTTTATCATAAATTATTTATTAATTTTCCAATATTCAGTCATAAAATAAACAAAGCAATACCATAAATAATAATTAGAATAAACGTCATCATCTTATTTCCACATGGAGTGGATGGACACATTAGAATTCCACGAAGAATTTTGGTGAACTAACTACCCAAAAACATTTCCCGACTTTGCCATACCATGCCCTTAACACAAATAGCTGATGCATTCCCCATATTATAGTTAAACGATTTCGTATCCGTGGCATACGAAACTGTGGCTCATTTCTTCTTTCTCTTTTGAATATATTGAGTAATATTAAACACTTAATGATATAATGTTGTAACTTCTGTTTTAAAAGGATATAACTGAATTCTCAGTTCCTCTTAGCACTTTCCTTTTACGAAACTAATTTAATGTCGCAATAAGCATTTAAGCACAATAAGGACTTACGTAATAAGTTTCTTTGATCTTACAAGGTAAAAAGTTTATATTGATTTAAGATTGTATAAAATAAGAATGTTTTGTACAGGAATTGCACGGCAGTGAGGTCGTTGAGATAAAAACGAAAAACTTAATATTACTTCCTTTACTACTTATAGTGAAATACATGATATGAGTTGTTTATTTTAACAGTCATATTGTCCGAATTCTTTCCATCGATAGGTTCATGATAAATGAAATTAAAATGATTTATACTGAAACTTCATCTTTTAATTTTTAACAATGATATTCTATATTGATGTAAATATTCTATTAACATAGGATATTATACGGCTTTGATTCTCATAACCGCGGAGGCTATTCGCCCGCTCCTCATGGAGTGGGTGGACCGCCGACACGGTTCCTTGACCTTCCGGCTGGTGCAGATCCTCTCGGGGCATGGTTGCTTTGGGAGGTATCTGTGCCACATAGTCGGAAGAGAGCCGACTGCGACGTGTCACCACTGCAGTCGCGTGGAAGACACCGCTGACCACACCTTGATGGAATGTCCAGCGTGGATATCTGAGCGGAGCCAACTCATCCGCGTGGTTGGCGCAGACCTTTCGTTGCCGGCAGTGGTCCAGGCCATGGTCGGCAGCGAGAGGGCATGGCAGGCGGTGGCCGACTTCAGCGAGAGAGTCATCTTGCAGAAGGAGGCTGCTGAACGAGTGAGGGAAGACGACCCCTCCTCGGCGTCTACTAGTCTACCTCTCACTAGTCTACGCACAGCGCAGAGAACGCCGAGGTGGTTTAGTGGGTGGAAATCCCACATGCCCCTGTCGCGTTTCCCTCGCGGCAGGAAGTCTTTAAAAGATTCCCCTCGTGAAAAAAAAAAAACGGCTTTGATTCTCATGATTGAATTGCATCTTTTCATCTAACCTAACCTGATGTTACTTTTATAATTTTTATGGTGTTTCGAAACAAACTAGGGTTAAGGGTACAAACAGAAGTTTAATTATCCTATGAAAGCTATCAAATGTAAAGTTCTAAATTGTTACCATATAATAATAAATAATCTTTTATTACATATACCTGCTATCTTATAAATATCTTATCTTATTTTATCTTTTACTTACACGTAAATTTTGAAAAAAGAATTATATTTCATTAGCCAACATGATGAATCTATAGTCAATAATTTTGGGATTAGATTAAACTTAAATAACACTTTTCTACCTATACCTAAGTACATATATACTTCGATTATTTAAAAAAAGTAAAAAGTCATTATTTTATGAGCAACATCCTGGAGACCATTAAGATTTAAAGAGACAATTAAAGACCTAATATATGTATAACAAAAATGCGAATTTCTTCTAAAGCCATAATATATACTAATAGGTATCACTAAATATATTCATTATAGTGTCCAAACTCCAATGTCCATCGACCATCATAACAATACTGTTTTATTTCTAGTCTATGATTAATATTTAACAATAAGATAATATTATACTTATTTAAGTAAATCTTTAAATGAGGCAATTTTGTATAAAATACATGTACTTCTCTCTATAAGTTGGATTTTGGAACATATATAAATGCTTCAAGTTCAATATACGCTCAGCTGATTTTGAAAGTTTGCGTGATTTGACCTTTGGAACTCCGGTATAATACTTATCAGTGTTCAACTGTTCAAACTTCAGTGAACTGAGTGTAGTTGAGTTTTAGATTGTGTTAAGAGCGGTCTTATATTAATTTATTCAAAATGAATCAATTTGCCATAATAACGCGAAATTTCTCAAGATCTTCGGCTGTACAGAGTGCTATTAAAAATGTTACTGTTATTGGCGGAGGGCTTATGGGTTCGGGAATTGCTCAGGTACTTGTGAAATTATATCTTTTAACCAATTTTATCAACGGTTATATCATAATATTATTATTATAAATATACGTAAATATTTTTAACATTATATTCTTCTTTAAACGACTCAGGTAGCGGCACAAGCTGGTCAAAATGTAACCTTAGTGGACGTAAGCTCCGACGTGCTGGCTAAATCTCAGAAATCAATCGCCACCAATCTGAGTAGAGTCGCTAAGAAGATTTATAAAGACAAACCTCAGGATGGTGAGAAGTTTGTTGCTGAGGCCATTGCTAGAATAAAAACCAACACAGATCCTGCTGCAGCCAGCCAAGAAGCTGATTTGATTGTGGAGGCGATCGTTGAAAACATGGACGTAAAACACCAGTTGTTCAAAAAGCTTGATGCGGTAATTAATGAATTTTAACCTCAATAAAAACTATTTGTTATACCAAGAAGAAAATTATTCTCAATTTTATAATCTTAAATTGCAAATGTTTTATTTTCTTTCTTTCTTATTTACCAGGTATTTTATTAGAAGTTTATAATAGTAATGCTTAAAATTAGTTTATATGTAATATGTTTGTTATTATAATGAGTATATGAAATTTAAAGGTTTTTTGTTGGTATCAGTAAGTTTTTGTTATATTGTATGCTTTATTTATAAATTTGTATTCATGTTTTTAATTACTATGACTATTAATATAATAAACCTCCTTGAAGGTGGCTCCTGGTCATACAATCTTTGCCTCAAACACATCCTCCCTCTCTATCAATGAGATCTCTTCAGTTGTTAAAGAGGACAGACAAGTAAGTTTTTATACTGCACAATATATACTTTTTAAAGTGGTGTATAAATTTAGAATAAACAAAATTAATGCATTTCAAATGTTAATGAATACTAAGTGTAGATTATATTTGCTTAGAATAAAAATGTAACATTTGCAATGTGTAATTGTAATTTTTTTTTTTATTTGTCATTTACAGTAAGAAGTTTTTTAGTCCTTCGATATTTTTGCTCATCTGAGCCCCATTATGTTAAGATCTGTGTTGTCAATGTGTTTTTTATCAAGAAACATTAAAAAAACTACTTGAAGAACTCAATCTAGTGATCATATGCATGTTTTGCATATGGCAGTATACTGCCCCCTCAATGTTAACCATACAAGAATAGAAAAGACTGCTGGGAAATAAGTTGATCTGTTTTAGAGCTAAATTGTCTCATACAGACTGACTTCTTCTTTAATAGACAGTTCATAATAAGAATTTTTTGGAAGAGATGAAGAATTGTTAAAATATTCAAGGAACTAGAATAATGATGGTATACTTAGACACAAGGTGGCCTAATATGGAATTCCAAAAAATAATATAAAGAAGTGAAATATAAATTACTGGTGACTCCATTTGTTGTATTTACACAGGATTTAAACAGTCATCTGTCTACATACTCATTATATTTGCATTTGTTTTATATTTGTCGGATTTTTTTAAGAGTTACATTTGTAATATATTGTTTAAAATATTTCTGATAATTTGTTTTTGAACTTAGTACCATGTTGTTCCAATTTTGGGACAAACAATGAGTATAACTAAATTTTGGCTTCCTTCATGACCATGATAAAGTTTATAATTTGTTCCAAGATTTGGTGGTCTGCACTTCTTCAATCCCGTGCCGGTGATGCGTCTTCTTGAAGTGGTCCGTGGAGATAAAACATCTGATGACACTTACAACACAATGATGGAGTGGGGCAAGTCAGTCGGCAAGACATGCATCACCTGCAAAGATACTCCTGGATTTGTAGTCAATAGACTACTAGTGCCGTATATTGCTGAGGCGATTCGGTTGTTTGAGAGAGGTTGGTAATTAAATATTAATAAATATTGTATCTTGTCAAGTTAATGTTATAAAATATATAATAAATTCTTCACAGGTGATGCGTCAGCTCGTGATATTGATGTAGCCATGAAGTTAGGTGCTGGTTATCCGATGGGACCTTTGGAATTAGCTGACTACGTAGGTCTAGACACTAATAAGTTCATCTTAGATGGCTGGCATAGTAAATACCCTGAAGAACCCTTATTCAAACCCATCCCTCTCCTAAACAAGCTGGTTTCCGAAGGAAAGCTTGGAGTCAAGAGCGGAGAAGGCTTCTACAAGTATGAGAAGAAATGAAGACTGAGATTATTGTCTCATGTTTTGCTTGCGAGTCTATTTGGAATCATGTTATGTATTTATAAAAATTATATCTTTCTCATATTTACAATAAAAGAACCTATTATTCTTGAAAACTATCTCATTAATCTTTAGTAAAACTACAAGATTTCCAATTTTTCTTTGATAAATCAAAATATCTTTTGAAAATAAAGCTTAATATGTAAGCCTTTTGGTGATGGAGATTATATAAAAATAATATTAACAATAGTATTTATATTTACTTAAAATACATTGACTTATTATAATTTGTCTACATGTCATAATCATCTTCGTCTCTTTTCCGTTTGTGTGAGACCTCGTCAACTTCCATCTTTACTGGTCCTTGGGATGAGGGTCCCGCGGTTACTCTGACGGCTGGTTTGGCAACCACCTGTAAAACAAGATAGATTCAGATAGAAACTCATATCTAAAAATATTACTTTTTAGTGTATATGTCTATTAAAGTCTATCTCAGTGGTGGCCTAGTGGTTAAAGCGCCCGCCTCTCATTGCCAAGGGTGCAGGTTCGATCCTGGCCCCAGCAAGTATCAATGTGATTTTTCCGAATCATATGTACTTTCTAAGAGTATTTAGACATCACTGACTAATGCATTCCCAAAGAGGGTTGATGTCAGGCAGGCGGCCGGTTGTAAAAACAATTAGCCAAAACTATTCACAACATGTAAGGCAGACCCTGGCTAAAGTTAGGAAATTGCCAGGTAGAAGAAGTGTTTATATTTATTAAAATACCTTGCTACTAGAAGTAAACTTCAGTACAGGCTTTGGAACTGAAGTCGGTTTAGAGGTCACATTAACAATAGCACCAGTGGGTCTTTTCACCACAACATTTTGTCCGGGGGGTTTAGGTGTGGTGACGGTTTTGATGGTCGGGGCTGAGGGTATGGCCGCTTTGGTCACAACTTTCTTAGTCGCCTGTTTGAGTCGGTAATTACAAGATGACAGGCAATAACTGAAATAAAATATTAAAAATACACTAAAACGATTAAGAAAATACTGAATCTAAAAAATTTATGTTTAAATGAGCGAAGTTATTTTTACCGATCTGGCGGCAATCGTAATCCACAATGCGGTTTCACCAACGGCAATGGATTGACATTTTTAACTCTGGCTAATTCTAACAACACTTCTCTCGGAGGTGGGCTTGTGAAGGACTTGTCCAGTTGCATCTGAACTGCAAGCCGTACATCGTCGAGATCTATGTTTTTCTTTTTAGCGTGATTCGCAAAAAACCCCGCGCATCCTCCAACACTGAGGTCACGTATCTGTATGTGAACTCCAAGAGAGCTGATTCAACACCCTGGGCTCGTAGTCAGTAATTCCTATTTCTTTCATGATCGACATGATCACTTGTGCATCTTTAGGTAAATGTTTTGATTGCGTGTTTACTTTTGATTTCTCCTTATCGGGACATGTTGATAGTCTATTATTTAATACTGCACATAAAGATCTTCGTCTCTTTAGTCTTACTTGTATGTTAACTTTGTTAATTAATATTCCCACAACAAAAATTGCGCGTTTTTTCTTTTATAAATTTTATGTTATATTTCTATTGACAATACGTTTCTCAATTTCTATTCTTGATTAAGTCATTTAAGTCTCAAAAGCATTGACGCCTGACGTTGACACAACGCTTGTTTGGTACTTTTCACTTTATTGTCAATGTTATGGATTCCTGGCCCAATAAATAGACAGCATTGTCTATGCTATATATTTCTGGTTTAATAAATTATTGCTTAACTACAAAGATGAATACTGTTGGGTAAGAGAGTTCCTCAAGTCTTACAGAAATATCGAACAAAATTAAGACATGTATAAAAAACATTTGTAATTATAAAAAAATGTACTTTAACTTACAAAACAAGAATATATCCTGTTTTTGTAACTAAAGTGTAAAATACGTTTTCAGCGACCTGTCTTTTTGTTTTCCGCTCAAAAAAATACTAACATTAAATTTTTAATAACTTTTATGGAATGCTATTAATTAAATTTATTATATAAACTTTCTAGCATTTTTTTTTCTAATAATGACTTTAACTTAAATCTAATATTATCTTCTCTGAGCAAATACTTTAGAACCAATGTTTAGTATTTTAATTAAAGACTTTTATTAAGTGAGATAACTTATTTAAACTTGTAAAAGCAGTCTACTGAGTATCGGTTTCGGAATAATACTATATTATAGATACCTAAAAGATATTCATGCCTGTATTACCTGATATAAAAAAAATACTTTCAATGTAATTTTACTCAGTCAATATTATGTATTACTTAAATGTTAATAGTAGGTAAATGTTTCCTTTCCAGTCTTATGCAACTTTTAGAGAACTTCCTTTCGGTTTAACTTGGTCGTTCATGGCTTATGACGATGGCTCTGATTCAAAAAGCTAAAAATAAATCAGTAATGCGATTCTATCTTAAATCACGTGTTAAAAGGGATATGATATAGGAGTGTTTTTGTTCAGGGGATTTTTGAAATGATGTATCTGAAAGAAAATGGGTTTTAACTGCCTCAAAACGTGAAACAATATTTTGGAGAAAACAGCTGTGATTAACTAATTAGGTAAACAGCTGTTACTAAATTACTACACTATGATTTTTCTTTTATTTTTATAGTATAACTTGTTTCATATTTATCTACTATGTAGCTGATCCGGCGAACTTCGTTACTGCCCTGTAATAAAGAAATATCTGTTACAGACACTACAAATTATCCTGTAGAAACCAATGTGAAAAATGCACTAAGAAATGGTAAATGAATTATGTAGTTATTTTATTATTATAACTCCGGCCACAGTCCAACTTCGACCGATATATTTGCAGAGCATGTAATTTTTTTCTTTGTTTTTTTAATGACAACCACATGAATATTACTGCCAGTGACACATTATTTTATTAAAAAAGTGAAATATTGTGGTATTTTTTTTTTTTTAGTATTTTTCATATTTTTTTCTTAAATAAGAACTATTTCCTAATAATAACAAGTACAATAAAAAAAAGAATTCGTGAAATCGGTTCAGCCATTCACGCGTGATGCCGTGACCAAGAGAAAAAGGGATTCATTTATATCTTTATATATATTTTTGATTTGATTCTTCTGTGAGTGTGTATGTCATTGAACTTCTCTCAAACGACTGGACCGATTTTGATGAAATTTTTTGTGTGAGTTCAAGGGCATCTGGGAATGTTTAGATTCACAATTTTGTCCGCTGGACAATGTTTTTTTAATTAATTTTTAATTTATTAGTTGTTGATACAAACGTTTTTTTTTCATTAAATTTGACAACTAATATGTCAATCATTCTGTCGCACTTCAAAACAGATATTTATGGCTTTTATAGGTAAACTCCAAAAAATATAAATAAAAACGTAACAGATATTTCTTGTTCGCCGGGTCTTCTAGTATATGTATAAAATAGTAACATTGCATGTATCAGTAAAGATTGCATCAAATCCTGATTATCGTTTGGATTTAATTTTTTGTTGTTTAATATATTAGGAATTTGGTTCTCGATTTAGAAAAATAAATAAGAATATGACATATATGACTACGAGATTTTTGATTAAAATAAAAAAATATGTTTTTGCACGGATGAATGCCATATTTTAAAAAAACTAACTAACCATAAAACAAATATAAAAGTGAATTATGGTAGAAAGCAATGATCTGCAAATATAACAATAATCTTCTTACAGAGTAATAGCCTTAAAAACTAATTACACTAGTTTACACGGTTTTCATACCCCAGTTGAAAGTTGTTATTTTATTTTATGTTCAGGTAGAACTATCCAGAAAAAAAATAATAAAAAAATTCTGTCACGTCTGGTTTAAAAAAATATTATTTTCTTGAAGGGAAATACAAAAATTTTAGGATTAATACAAAAAATAAATTAATAATGACTAATTTTTGGCTTTCTTTTTATAGTTATTTGAATCAGTTTCTCTTATGATAGACCAACAGTAATCCCCTAACATATTTCATCCCAAAATCCTTGATGTCGTTCTTTCGAAGGTCCTTAAATCTTGGTGGAAACGTTCACCCTGTTCGTCACTCATACTTCCTAAGTTTTCAGGAAAAAAAATTCAGACGAGAGTGTAGAAAGTGAATCTTTAATGACATGTTTACTCCCATATCATGAAAGTTTTTCAATAAATTGTTAAAAAAATTTCTTCATAATTTTTTCACTTTTTTTTTATTTCCCAAAAAATTTTCTACAAGCATTTTAAATGAGTTCCAAGCAGACTTTTCTTTAACCGATAAAAGGTTTTTAAAAACTGAGAATCTCTTTCATAATTTTACGGATTTGTGGACCAATAAATATACCCTCCTTCAGTTTTCCCTCTGTAATGTTTGGAAATATTTTTTGCAAATACAGGAAAGCATCACTGTTTTTGTCAAGCGCCTTTACAAAGTTTTTCATGAGCCCCAGTTTAATGTGTAAAGGGGGTAAAGTGACGTCATTTGGATAGACCAACAGCTCGTGATTAATGTTCATTTTGCCCGGAATATACTCATTTCGAACAGGCCATTCTTTCCTTACATAATGATGTTGTTTCGCTCTACTGTCCCACAAGCAAAGGAAAACAACAGTACTAGGTTCTCTCCATAGCATTGGCAAACCAAATGGAAGGTAAACTTTTTCTCCTGATGACCACTGGAGTAAGATGATTCTACAGCTTTTCGCCGCAAAACACGTGAGGCACCCACTTTTTATCTTGATTTGCAACAGGAAATCCAAAATAATGAAGATATGCAGTTTTTAACGAATCTACAATAGGTCTTCTTCTTTTTTGAAAATATAAACTGTCCACAAACATAACAAAAATGGTCAGAAATTTGTTTTGCACTTTCTGCTAGCCATTTTAAATCAATCCAAAGCAAAGTAACTGTCGTTTGAAGCGAAACAAATAAACAATAAAAATATCACCACCACGTCGGCTAGTTAAAAAAAAAAACAATTGACGGCAGAAAAAAAATTCCGACGTGATAAAAATATTTCTGCTAACACTTTTAGGTTTAGGGAAGGTAGATTAAACATAATGACATACATTCGGTTCGGGGTATAAATAAAAAGTAAAATTTTGTAAAACTAGTGTTATCAACACAATATGCACACTTAAAATCCCTTAAGTGATGTCACCTCGAAGACTTTTTTATTGTAACTTCATTACTATATTATTAATGAACTTCAGCATTTTCATTTGTCAGCACAATATTTTTTTAGCAATTGTATATATTTTTTGAAGTGTTTAATTACAGAATTCTATAGTGTCAAGAAGTTAAGGACAAAATTAATACAATTAATAATAATTAATATACTAAAAAAAAAAAAAAATGGAATAAAAAAGAATTATATATTTTTTTTTGCATACAGAATCAGAGAGATGTATTTTAGGAAAATGAAAACTCACTCTATATATAACCATTTCGATTTATTCAGTTAAAAATATGAAATAAACTTACGTGTACAGTAAAAATAAGTTGTTTTAGATGGTTATCGAAGTGTCAACTGAATACCGCTACAAGCCGCTCGGCCCGCGTCAACATTTGCATTGCTACTACCTTAAAACTTGTTTCACCAAGTGCACTAAATACCTTCTAAAGATTACATTATTGTAATTTGCATAGGTACGTTAACATATAAATGGACAAATTTGGACGTACAGTTGTGATTTATTTACTATAGCGATAAAAAGAATGTCCTATAGAAAGCACATGTTCTCTTCACTTTCGTTCCATTTAGCTTATTTATATTTACACTTATATCTATTTAGATATATTTTTATTGCATACTTTATTTTTTTTTAAGTTTTTTCAGTTACCTTTCATAGTTAGAAAACATTTTATTTCAGGTGAGACAACAATAGACCGATCTAAAAAACATTATTACATAGCATTTTGATACACGTCTCACTTGTCTATTGTCAAACCCGAAGACAATGTATGGAGGGCTTTCAAATGTCAAGTTGACGAACATTTCCCGCGCAAATGAAACACGTACAGCGTTTATTATTTTTGTCGCAAACATTCCATTCTACATAACATTGTGTACCTACGAGATGGAACAAAAGTAAAGTGACATATCTAAGTCAGAGCGGCGTAAAACAGGATACCATAAAAACAATGCAACAGAAACCTATCTATTGAGACGTCCTTGATATGTTTTATAAATAAGATACAGATTTTGAGCTCCAGGAAGGGTTAATACAGCTGTAATATTATTGCTTCTCGTATATTTAATCATCATCCATGTTTATTGCGAGGTAACGATACTCCGAGTCGCTCAGATCGTCACCTTCACAAACATTGCCGTTCAGTTACTTCTATAGCTAAAAAATTGTGCTATTTACTGAAACCACCCGATAAGACTATCAACATCCTCTGTTTTACTTATAATATAGTTTATATCACCTAGTGAGGTTTCAAAACGATAACCTATTACAACGACCGCGCCTCACACGCCACGTCGCACGGGTCGATGACCTTCACAGATACACCACGCTACAAACATCGCGAATGATAATTGTATAAACATCGAGTCGGTTAAATTAATTCATTCAAACAGACTAGACAACATTCTGACTAGTGTTAGTATTAACACCGCGATGTGAACGTGTGAGGCGAACTAATATATACTAATTAGGTAAAAATGTACTTACGATCTATGTCTCGTATAGTTATATAATATGAACAACGCAACTAGGGGCAGGGGCTACTCACCGCTTACGTACTATGAACATCACAAAAAATCTCAAATTATTACAAGGTGCTGCTCCGACCAACGGAATGGCCGGCGTGACTGGTATAGGAAATGAAGTTAATTCGTCCAGAAGTTTATCGTTTATTGGCAAAATGGGATCAGAAAATAGATTTTCGCTTGTTCACGATCATTAAATATAGCTCGATAAATTATAAAAAAGATTGCACGATTAAAATTAATATAACAAAGTAAGCTCAACACCGACTCTTATCATTAAGAAGATTACTCCGAGAACAGGCGACGCTTCCGTAGTTTGGCATTTCAAATTTACAAAAATATTTAAAACGTATCAAATTCAGTCCGTATTTATTTTAAATCACCAATGGTTATCGATTGCTAAAGGCACTCCTCCACGCAAAAGAAACGGGCTCTCATACAGTGACGACAGAACGAAAAGCATTGGATACGAAACAGACGGAGAACGGAACGAAACTATAGCCATTGAGCTCAAACACAAAGGAACGACTCCGAACGACATAACTTACTCTCTAATATATATAATATAAATACATATACAGAAACGGGAAGAGACTACTATCAATGCACGAGATCACATCCATCGTGAAGCCCGCGGGACGACTGTCGCGCGACATTATATATATGTACATCAGTCCGTCGTCACCGCCGGGCGGCGGGGGCGGGACCTGCGGGAGAGAGGAGGGGGGTGTCAGCTGTTGTCTTTATTCATTATCTGTGCATATGTTAGTCTCCCCCACCTATGTGGTGAGCGCGGGCTGCGCGTGGTCGGGCGGGGGCTGCAGGTGCGCGGGCGGCGGGGGCGCGGCGTACTCCACCACCTCCTGGTAGATGAGCTGCTTCCACTGCTCCACCGTGTGCTCGCGCTCGTCCACCGAGTGGTCGTACGACGCGGGGGCCGGCTGGATACAGATACACGAACAGATATAAGAACACACACACACACACACACACAATCATGCAAAACACGTATTGAATTCCCACCCGTAAACAGTTTTACCTTTACATTACTTTATACTAAAAGTTTTATTTTATGCTACCGTCTTCTAGTTATTAATATGTTTAAAGTTATCCGTGTAATCCTATTTTGGTTTAAATTTTATTTATAGAAAACTTATGTATAAAAACTGTTGGATTACCAAATAAATAAATAAAAGTTGATAGTTGTATGTGTATAGTACTGACCGCGTTGACCTCCCCCTCGTCGTACCACACGTTGATGTAGGGATGCAGGAGCGCCTCGTCCACAGAGATGCGTCTCTCGGGGTCAATGACCAGCATGCGGGACAGCAGGTCCCGGGCCTGCGAGGCCTTCAGTCGGTTGTGCTCGTTGGAGTCCGAGGGGAACAGGATATCCGGAAACAGCCTCTCGAAGCTGTATCCGGTGTAGCGAGGTCTGTTCTCGACGTAGTTGCGGACGGTCGGCTGCAGGCGGGACATGAACGCGGCCGACGGAGTGCCCAGTTGCTCTGAAACACGAATAACATAACAATGACAACATTTATATACAGATAATACATACTTCCAACGTTTCGGCTACTTTCGAGCAAACAACAATGTAATCACGGTAGTTTTTCACAAAAACTGCGTAGTGTATCCGAAAGAATATTAGTATCATTTAAATGAATACTCGCGAAAAACTTAGATCTTATTATACAAATAATAACTTATAATCGATCAGACGGCTTTACCTGATTGAGGTAGTACCGTCATAACATCCGAAATATAGATATGCGGATGTGTTGCCACTCTTGATTGGGAAAACGTGGGAAAGGGAAAGGGCAACCATCTCTCACTCATCTAACGAAAAACAGCCATTGAAGACTACTTCACGCTGATGTTCTGTGAGAGGATTGTATTTCTCCGGTCGAGTCAGCCCATATTCCAACTACACTAACTTGACCCCCACCTCATAAGACATGACAAATTATATCAACCATCAATACTAACCTATGATTTTGTTCCACTGGTCGATGTGGTCCGTCCCCGGGAACAGAAACCCCTCCCCGTATCATCTCCCCCATGATGCAGCCCACGGACCCATATGTCCACTGTTCTCGGTGTACCCCATGCCCAAGATGACCTCTGGCGCCCTGTAGTAGCGCGTCACCACGTACGGGGTCATCATGAACGTAGTCCCGGCTGTACGAGCCAAGCCGAAGTCAAGAATCTTGAGCGTGCAGTCGCTTTTCACCACTATGTTGGACGGCTTCAGGTCCTGTGGAGCATTTTATATAGGTTACAATGAACATGAATTATACATAATAGATAGGGTGTGAGAATTATAAAGCTTTATGTAGACCGAGTCATACCTAACAGAGTATTGTAAAGAAATGTATCAAAGAATATATGGAGGTACTAGCTTTCCGCCCCGCAGCTTCGCCCCGCGTTTCGTGTTATCGCGTTTCCAAGAGAACCTTTCAGAAGCCTGGGATAAAAAAACTATCCTATGTTCTTTCTCAAAGGTCAACTCTATCTCTGTAACCAAATTTCATTAAAATCAGTTTCAGTGGTTTAGGCATGAAAGCGTAACAGACAGACAGACAGAGTTACTTTCGCATTTATAATATTAGTAGGGATTTGGAGGAAGTTATAAAAATTATTTTGATGCCAATAAATGAATAAGCAATTTGTTTCGTTTTTTTATTTATTTATTTATTTGGTAATCGTTTAAAAAAATGTTCACGACCAGAATCCGTTAACGCCCTAACGTTACTTTGATATCAAGCGTCGTCATCAGCCTATCAGAGCCCACTGCTGTAAGGCCTTTTTCTCACGTGGAGAAGGTTTGAGCATTAATCACCACGCTTGCTCAAGACGGTTTGGTGATTTCAAACTTATAATTGTGAAACTATAAATCCAGGTTTCCTCACGATTTTTTTCCTTCACTATCAGTGGTATGTCTAAATACTCTCAGAAATTTGATATCGAGTGTAGGTAACGCTTAATGAATACATTTTATTGCTCACCCTGTGTATGATGCCCGCCAGGTATATAATATTAGTAGGTATTTGGAGGAAGTTGTAGAAATTCTTAAACATTTTGTTTTGTTTAAATCATGCCCATGACCAGAATCCGTGATCGCTCACCCTGTGTATGATGCCCGCCAGATGCAGGTGCTTGATGCCGCACAGCATCTGGTACAGCAGGTAGCTCATCCGCTCGTGGTCCAGGTCCATCTGTATGACCTGGCACAGGTTGGCGTCCATCAGCTCCATCACCCAGGTACACGTCCTGGAACTCCTCCAGGCTCTTCTGGGGGGTGAACGCGTTTCAGCAGACCGATTATCTGGAATACATTTCAATTGACACGTTTAATATCTTCTTTTATCTGCTATAAGATATTCTCTTTTTTAACAAATTATCATGAAAAACATTATGTAACTCAAATTGATATAACACAGAATATATCAAACAGAGACACCACTTTCTCTCGCTTGAACAATTTCTGAACATTTTCATTTAAATTCTTCTTCTACCTGGCAATCTTCCAGCTATAGCCACTCTCTGCCTTAAATGTGAATAGTTTTGGCTATTTGTTTTTACAACATCGCCTGCCTGACATCAACCCTCTTGGGGAATGCATTAATCAGTGATGTCTAAATGCTCTTAGAAAGTACATATGACTCAAAATCACATTGTTACTTGCCCAGGCCAGGATCGAACCTGTTCTCTCGTGGACGAGAAGCGGGCCCTGTTAACCACTAGGCCACCACTGACTTTTTGACACGTTTAGTATGATATGGAGAATCTATTAAGTTTCTACACTACTGCCACGATACAATAACATATCGTCGGGGATAATGCAAATCCGCGTAACTACCATTGGATTACCGCGCGTATCTACATTACAAGCAGATTATCATAAGAAAGTTAGAGCTGAAATATTTTTTCTATATTGACAACTTACAAAGGTAATTTTTTTCACAATTAGTAGTAAATTAAACGCTTTAAAAGTCGTTGATATATAAAAAATTTCAGCCCAATCTTTCTTTTGATAATCCGCTACTAATGCAGATACGCGTATTATCCAATGTTAGTTACGAGTATTTGTAGTATCTTAGGACAAATTGTATGTAGAATATTCTATGTTTATTGTTAATCAAACTCACATTTTTGTGATTGACGAGTTTCATCAATTTGAACTCTCTGTAAGCTCGCTTGGCGTGCGTCACGTTCTGGAAGGGTCGAGACAGCTTCTTGATGGCGACATTCTGTTGTGTCACCGTGTCGTAGGCGGCGCTGGGGATATAAACTAGTCTTTGAAAACAAACCGCATCGAAAACGGGCTCAGGTTGGACCGGCATCGACGAGAACACAAACATATATGTACATATATATAGTTACATAATATAAAGCCATGCATAAATATCGTACACAAAAATATGATTTATATAAGTATATAAAAACAAAATAATATTTATATTTTAAGATCATTATTATCTTTGGTATTTGTTTTTCCTTTTGTTTAGTATGTTTATTAATTTTTTATATTGTTTGAATGCAATTAGAAAATTCATTATTTTGTAAGTAAATTTGTAAGTGACCTAGGCTCTGGAATTGAAAATTTGGTAAGATATGAAGAAACGTTTAAAAGATATTACGAGAAATATTGTAATTTGCATATTTAAATTATAGTAGAAATTTGAGGATTAAAAGATTAATAAATCTCAAGTCATTATAAACATAGAGATTTGATTTGAATATTTAAAACGATCGGAGTTTCTGTTAAAGAGGCGATTATTTAATTATGATTTTTGCAAGAGGGATTAATTGTTACTATCTTTAAATATATTGAAAAAACTTATTGGCTTAGCTACTCATAGTAGAAAAACCGCTCTAAGAACCATTTTTTTAGATATACTTTAGAAACGAAGAGAAAGGTTTGGAAGTTTTAATTTAACAATATGCCTATTAAACACTTTAAAATAGAACGCCATACAAATGTGTGATGAAGGAAATTTGAATAGAATTAAAAAATCAAACGAAATAAGAAACATTAATGTTCTCTTTGTTTAATGATGAACAATCCTCCAATCATCCCCCCTCTAAAAACACCCGAAAGTCCCCCCCCTCAAAAACACCCGAAAGTCCCCCCCCCCTCTCCCACAAGACATACAACATTAGTAAGCGGGATGGTGAGACAGAAGCTCGCCTTACCACACCATGCCCTGAGCGCCGGCGCCGCGACGCACGACCTCGGTATAGCGCGTCGGTATCGTGAACACCGTGTCACCGATCGTTACTGAGTAATATACCATCGCTACGGCTAATACTAACTGGATCAGCTATAAAGAGAAAATTAAAACTTCATGATCACTACAAGACCGCAAAACGATCCTCCGTTACACAGCTTTCTAGAGCTTGAAGTGTGATCGTTTGGTCAGGTTAGGGTCAGGCCTAGAGAACACACACAAGCCACGGATTGAGTAGACGATAGTTTGAAACTGAAATATGAAAATGAAGTGCGACCGTGGAAGAACAGATGAAGTCGTGCGTGCACTTTATTAAGATATTGACTTTATATAAAGACCTGCTCGAAAACGCTTCATAGATGACGTTTGAGAAAAAACAAAATAGAAACATAAAATTAAAGAACAAATATTGATTATTAATAAGACTTATAACAATACACAAAACATTATATAGATTAAAATATATCAAACTAATTATAGCAACATAATCTACATACAACATAACAGATATATGGATGTGTGGAAGACAAAAGAGATTGATATAATCAAATATAACAGTTGGAAAGTGTTAAAGTATCAAAGTATTGAGAGATAGGTTTGCGTAAGAATTCATTGAGTACGTTTCTAGTAGTAAAGTGGTATGTTTTTTGATCTCACCAGACAATTCCTTGTGCTCCGGAGCCGATGGGCTTCAAGTTCTGGTATCGCTTTGAGTATAGTGAACCGCGTGTCGCCCACTTCCACCGTGTAGAAGTGCGGGTGGCGCGCAGCCGACATAGTCGCTGGTGCCGCGTGGGGCATCTACCACCCCTACCTACACATATACTACACTGTCACATACGATCATTAAGAAGTTGCTAGTTTTAATTACTTGGCAGATGATATGATTAAATTATATAATTATCAACAGTTTTCTCACAATATATATAAATAATATAAAATATTTTTTGCATGCTTGAAATTATCAAGAAAGCTTCGTCTATATGTAAGGAAACCTCCTTTAAAAACTATATTCCTTAAAAACGCCATTGTTAATTGAAAAAAATAAGAAACTTTCATAGGTTATTTTCTATTTTGTACATAACATTAGAATGTAAATGACTTCTAACTAATTACGTTTTGAAATAAGATTCTAATGGAAAAATATCATTAGAATTTAATTAAATTGTTAAGAATAATGTTTAAGAAAGTATTGGAATTTTAAATTCTAATTAAGAACTCATTTAAATCCAGTACAGGCTTCGTCACCTTGAGACTTAATTAACCAAATAAATGAAGAGTCTACATTAGCCCATTTCACATTAATAATAATATAGTATATTGATAAAGACAGTTTTCTTATGTTAAAAAGGAGAAAAACAATTTAAAAGACCAATCATATGGTGAGTGGTTACCGTCGCCAGAGGACATCGGTTTAATAAGAAGGGAATTGGGATGAGTCGCTAGAGAACTATACAACATCCATTTGCGTCTTTACTCTTTAAAAATAGTCTTCAGGGAAACTTGTTGGAACGGCCATATAAAAAGATTTTAGTAATGCTAAACATGCACCAAGTACTCAAACTATTATCCATAAGTGTTGTGGAAAACTTACTTTAATAAATTATCCGTAGAGAAGGGGCAGGGTTCCATAGAGTTTCACCAGCAGTATTGTCCAACTCCTTATTCGCACCGACTAGTTTTCCACGCTATTGTTGCGTCTGTGAACAAAAATTATTTGTTAAAGCACTGTTTTTTTTAATGTCATAAAAAAGTTACATAGTAAAAATTGTTGCCTTGAAAGCTCCAAAAATTGCCTACAACTATTAAAATCTATCTTGGGCTAGGAATATCTCACGGGAGTGTTCTGTCTTTTATTTATATACTAGCTTTCCATCCGCAGCTTCGCCCGCGTGGAGTTCGGTTATATTTCGTTTCTAAGAGAACCTTTCAAAAGTCTGGGATAAAAACTATCCTATGTTCTTTCTCAAGGTCAACTCTGTCCTCTGTACCAAATTTCATTAAAATCAGTGCAGTGGTTTAGGCGTGAAAGCGTAACAGACAGACGGACAGTTACTTTCGCATTTATAATATTAGTAGGGATTAAGGGAAAAGAACACTCTCAGGCGGGATCACTTAATAGAATGTGACTGTCCGCTGTAAATGAACGATAGAAACTTAGAAAAAAATTTACAAAAAAGCTACCAACTTTACGTAGCTCCTTTACATCCATATCTAGTTCGTCTAAGAGCTTTTTTATAAAAGGAAAAAAAAGTTTTGTTTTCATACCTACCCTTTTTCTTTCAGCAAAATACATAGTATATAAGTAAAAACATATGTAACTGTAATATATAATATTTTTATAGGTGGTAGACCGTAGCTATAGTTTAGTTACTACAGCTCGAATATGGGCTGGCTCAACCGGGAAAGTACCACCCTCTCACAGAAGATCGGCGTGAAGTAGTCAATAATGACTGCGTTTCGTCCAGTGAGTGAGAGAGCCGGTTGCCCTTTCCCTGTTCCCAACCTTTTTTTTTTTTTTTTTTGATGACGTAGTGGAAACTCTTTTTACGAGCCGTCCAAACCGGCCTTGGTGGGGCCGGAACGGAAAGGATGTGTGAGGCTCGGCCTGGGCAGGCCCCCTACTCACTAAAACCACTGCGAAAGCCATCGGCCGCTATGTCGGTGTACCCCGGATCTGTCAGCGGACAGGGCACACCAGCGACTGGCCGGTCCTGGCAAAGACCGGACTTACTCCCTCGGAGAATGGGGGCGATTCCCGGCAATTAGGACCACACCCGACGACGCCGGGCTTTCAAAAGGGCCGGGTTACCACGCCGACCCCAGCCCGGAACACAGGGGTGCTATTGGAGGCGTAGGAATTGCCTCCGACGCACCCCGTACGTCGCCTGCGGGGGGAGGGAGCATCAGCCGCCCTCTCCCTTTCCCGCTGAGATGCCTCCTTCGTGGACATGACCGTCTCACAGAAGGAGGACACCGCCAACCAGGACCCATCACTCTCGAGCATCTTCTCCACGACACTCGAAAGCGACAGGTCCACTCCGCCGAGAGCCGCCACAAGGTCTTGGCGCTGCGCAGCCCATCTCGGGCACACCTCGAGGGTGTGCTGGGCCGAGTCCACCGCAGCGCCGCACTCATGGCAGCCTTCTCCCGGCTCTCTCCTGGCCGTCCGACACAGGTAGTAACCAAAGCACCCGTGCCCGGTTAAGACCTGCGTCAGACGGAAAGTGAGGGGTTTGCGTTTCCGCCTCATTCCAACGCTCTAGGACCGGGCGAAGCGCTGCCGTTGTACCGTTCTACCGTACGGCTGCTCCGCCAAGTCCTCCCCCACTCCCGCATAAGGCGCTCCTCCCCCTGCCGACGAACCGCTCGGATCTCCTCCGACGAAGGGTTTCTCGCCGAGTGTCCCTCCTACCCGAGACATAGGAGAACAACTCGGCTCGAACCGACGCCACGAGATCCCAAAGGCGGATCGCCGGCAAGGGCAGTCGCTGCGGCCCAGGAGACCGTACGGTACCCCCTAATCACCCTCACCGCAGGAGCCCTTTGCGCAGAGCGCAGCAGGGCTCTGGTCCTGCGGCTCATTGGGCGATCAGCCCAAACGGGGAGCACCGTACAGGGCTATACTCCGACAGACCCCAGAGTATAGCCGCCTGCAAGCTGCGCTGGGTCCTCCGAGGTTCGGGAGGAATTTTCCCAGCGCACCTGCCGTCCTCACGACCTTCGGCCCCAGTTCCTTGAAATGAGGCACGAAGGTCCACCCTCCGTCAGAGTGAGCCCCAGATATTTCATGGTGGGACTCACCCTGACCCTCCCTCCTCCAATGAGGAGGGTGGCACCCGGCGGGGGTCCTTTCCGCCCAGTCCCGCGGAAGAGGAGGGCTTCGGTCCTTGTCTATTCTCACCCGAAGCCCCAACCTCTCTATGCGGCTGATCACGAGGTCAGTTCCGACCTCGGCCAGCCGCGCCGCCTCCCTGTAGTTTTTTCGTCCCCGGGATAAGACGAGGGTGTCATCGGCGTAGCAGATGACACCCATCCCGGGGAGGAGACGACTCCGCAGGACCCAGTCGTATCCGACGTTCCACAGGACCGGTCCCAGGACCGACCCCCTGTGGCACGCCGTTTTCGACTGTCCACCACTCTATGGACCCCCTCCGGCTCTCGACTGCCACCCTCCTCTGGGAGAGGTAGCTGTTTATCAGCCTCCTCAGATACAGGGGCACTCCGAAATACTCGAGTGCCACCTGTATCGCGCTGTGTGGGAGGCTGTTAAAACGCGTTTGCGATGTCCAACGACACCCGCAACCACTACCTCTCCTCTGCGTTCCGCCTCTTCCGTCACCGCCCTCAGGCGTTTGAGAGCATCGACGGTCGACCGATGGGCTCGGAACCCGAACTGGAACTCTGACAGTCCCGGGCCCGAGCCTTCCTCCAGATGCCGAACGAGACGGGTGGCCATTATTTTCTCCAGGGCCTTCCCCGCCTCGTTCAGCACAAACCACCGGTCGCCACGCCGAAGCCGAGTCCGGAGGCCGGTTGCCTTTTGGAAGAAGGCAAAGCCGGCCTTCCTTCCAGGCCCTCGGGAACTGCCCGGACCTCAGACAGAGGTCGAACAGCTCCTTGAGGGCTCCACCGAGGTGCACCAGGGAGAGAGCGAGAACTCTCCCGTGCACCCCATCCGGACCCGGTGCGCTCTTCTTACTCTGGAGGCGAGCCAGAAACGCCTCCATTTCAGACTCCGTGACGGTGGGCGGAACGCGGTCGCCCTCTTCCAGCGTCAGCCGGGCCATTCTGGGGGGAGTAAATCCCGCTGGAGCGTCGGGGAAGAGTTCCCCGACGATCCCCCTCAGAAGCAGCCGGCTGGAGCACCTCCGTGATGGGGGCCGACTGGGCGCCAGAGTTTGTTCCGCGCCCACTTGTACGGGTTTCGGCCCCAAGGGTCTCAATCGAGACCCTCCACCATGCTCCAGCCAGGCTGCCTCCTTGGCCCGGCGGATGGCCTGCTGCAGGATCAACTTCTTCTCCACATAGACCCTGTGTACAGCCGACCATCTCGCTCCTCGTCCTGGGGGCGGCGTCGCCTACTCCGGGTGTATGCCCTCCTGGCCCCGTTGCAGGCGACCCGGAGGTCTGAGATATTCTCAGACCACCAGTTATAACCGCTCCCCGCGGAGGGGGACGTCCTACGGGGGGCATCGCCGCTCGGCAGACGTTTTGAAGAACGTCCCCAAAGCGGCTAGCCCCTTCATCCACCCCTAACTCCGCACCCTCCGGGAGACTCCAGCGACCGACGACGGCCGCTTCTTTAGCCAGTTCCCGGTTGAGCTTTGACAGCGCCCAACGCGGGAACCGACTTCTCTCCCGAGGCGACGAGGAATTCGACACTGGACTCCGGCGACCGGCAGGAGTAGGAGACACTTCGAACCGTATGTAACGGTGGTCCGAAAGCGTCTCCACTCCTGCCTCAACCCTCCATCCCTCCACTCTGCGTGCGATGGTCGGAGTGGCGAACGAGACGTCCACCACTGAACCTCCCAACCGTTCGCACGCACTCGTCTGGACCGTCCCCGAGTTGAGAAGGGACAGTCCGGCAGTCAGCGCCCATGCCTCCAGCTCCCTCCCTTTCGGTGTTGTGCGGGGGTTTCCCCACGCGCGTGGACTTTGGCGTTGAGGTCCCCCAGCACAAAACACCTGAAGAGGCGCTAACTGCCCTACCCACCGGCCCGAGAGAGTCTGAGAAATCTCTCGAAGGCCGGCAGGTCGCGATTCGGGGAGAAATATACCCCGACGATTGGCAACCT